GCTCAACGAGCCGAAACGTCGTAATCAGATGTGTAGTCATTAAGTTGACAACAATTTTTGAAAATTGGTGTAAAATTGCTTAAAATAAATAGTATGCACCGAAGAAGAATTGGAGAAATATTGTGAAGAACTAAATATTGAAAAAAGGGCTCAATATACTATAGTCAGTCCCTCCAAAGGTTACGAAGGAGAAGCCCTAGTGTTGGCCGAAACGTTGTCAAGATAAAATAAAAAATAAATAAAATTTAGGTGGAATATAGCCATAATTTATAAAAATTAAAAAGAAATAATGAACAGAATTAATTAATAATTTTTTTTTATTATTTGCTTTTGTCCTCCACTCTTACCCTCTCTTAAAAATATTTTTCTTTATCAGTTTTCTACTGTTAATTTAATTTTCTGTTTGATGCATCTGGTCAAGTTCCCTGAGAAAATTAATTTGATATTTTTTTGCGTTAATAAACCATATAAAGGAAGATTAAATGAAGATATATCACCAAAAACGTTTCTATTGTTATTCAAGTTAATTATTTTTTAACGTGCGCCCTCTGAAATTGCGTGCTCCAAACCCGGGCACTATTCGTAAATCCGATCCTGACTATAACTTATAGTTGTTATTGTTAACAACGTTTTTATTGTTGTATATTGCTAATCTTGCTGTTCTGTTTATTATTAATTCATAAATTATCATCTTATGCTATACATCCTCCTGTCCTGATATTTAACGAAATGAATCTCACTCCCTTGAATGATAAGTAACTCCTCCTATCTTGTTACTTTTGTACAACGTTACTTTATACAAGTTTAGCCGACCGGGCTCTGAGAGAGTGTACTCACATTAACTGTTCGAACTTCTACCGCCCACAAACTTTCATAATTTTCCTTCTCACTAAACTTACATTTGACCTGAGCTGAGTGAGAAATTCTCATCCGTTCCTGGCAACTAAGCGATGGAAGTTGGTTTGTTTTTGGGTCAGCTGGTGTTCTTTAGTTGAACAGTTTCATCACTTTACTAGTAACTCGGAAACATTTTGTCTAACAGAATTCCAACAATGATTAATCATCAGATGATGGTACTGACAAGTTTAAAATTTTAAACTGTTCATAGAAATGAAACTGTTCATTTCTGACATTATCTTTTTATTAAACTGAGGTATTATATTTTACGAATAATCTGGTAAAAATTAAGTGCTATTAACTTCCGGGTAAATAATTTGCACTAGTTGTGTTGTCCAGTAAAATTGTTAGTCCGTGATACAGGCCCCTTTATATCATATTATTCCGCCTGAAACTTCATGAATAGCTTCATTTCATCGTAACATAAAACTATTTAATTTACAAAAACTCGTGGAGTGGGGGCGTTTTTAATCTGGAGATTTGCAAACTTTGTCTATTTAATTAGGTAATAAAAATTCGTAAATAGTCATTTCCTTTCGACTTGTATCGTAAAATAATCTGCTCACAAAATCGAGTAAAAAGGTGGCCTACAAAAATATTGAGCCGTTTGGCCTGACCTACATCCCAACGTTTAAAAATCACGATTTTATATAGACCAAACGGCCCAATATTTTTGTATACCACTCTACTTTTCGATTTAGTGATCAGATGACAAGCCAAGTGGAAAATCAATGAGTATTTACGAGTTTTTAATACCTAATTAAATATAATAAAAACGTCCGACAATTTTCGTAAATAAAATAGTTGTAGGTTACGATGAGATGATGCTATTTACGAAGTTTCAGGCGGATATTAATAATTTGATAAAAAGGGGTCTGTACCACTGATTATGTGAACCCCCTATGTGAATTGAAATTGTAAATATTGTAAATTTCATTCCTTTCTGTTTCAGATTTTAAAATCACAAATAATAATAATGTCGCAGGTTTATTGTTGAATTATGTGCTTACCTCTATGACGACTGGTCAGAGCTGGAATTGGGCCGAATATTGACTTAGGGCTAAGCTGGTTAAAATTGCCAGTATACCGTGATGTAGCTGGATATTTAGAATAGCTGTGTAAATTCGGATCTTGGTCACTATTTGCCAATAATAAATATATATATTTAAATTAATATAAATATAATAAAAATAAACAAGGCTTAACCTGAAGGTTTGATGCTTATACCACCAATCGCTTTCCACGTATTTCCATCCACCGACCGACTTCGGGAACCTACTTCACAAGATCAGCCTTAACACAATCCTCCCAACTACACTGCGTCTATCCCTCGAACACTTTCCAATCAGCTCAGCGCTTATTAACCTTTAGAGATAAGTTCGTTACTCAATCCAACAATTTTATTCACCTCAATTATAGATACGATTTTCAAATTCAGTGGCGTAAATAATTAAGTTCCCACCTTTCTCCCCTCCCTTCCCCTCTCAAGTTAGTGTAAAGCAGAGAAAAGAAATATGAAGTTATATAAGGAAATAATAGATATAAATAGAAAATTATTTTCTTATATAACTTCATATTTCTTTTCTCTGTTTTATACTTTATTCTAAGATTACCATTTTTCATTTCTTATATTATCTTAGTTTGATTATGTTTGTTTTATTGGTTTGTTACCGTTATTATTATTATTTATTTCTCAGCTCTCTGTTACTATTACTATGCTACCTACTTTATTTTACTTTAATGTTCAATCTTTCTAATTTATTTTACTTTAAATTTTTCTACCTACATTTTTTAGTCTATCTATACCTTTCACCTTTTTCAATTCGAATTCTTTATTATTCAATGTTTATAGTTTCTTATACCTATTGTTATCTGTTTCTTTTCTTAGCCCTGATGAAGGCCTGAATTTCGGTCCGACACGTCGGCGAATGTGAAAATAAATACAATAATTTTTTTTTACTATTTTATTTTGACTGATCATCCTAACCATCCTTCTCTTCAAAAAAATATAAAACTTTTTTTTCTAATTTAAATGCTGAATTTTCAAAATTCTTCTTCTTAAGTACTTTTCATATAGTCAGTTTGACTTTTATATTTCACCTACCCATAATTTTGTAAAAAGATCCTCATGCAGAATATTGAAGATCTGCTAATATAAACCTAATAATATACAATGTATAATAATACTAACTTCTTTTTTCCTCGAATTTCGTGATGGATGATTCCAATAAAACACAGATTTTTTTCAAAAGATCCAATCCTTCCCCCTCCCCTCCCAATTATTATTATTGTTGGATATTATATACAATCATAAAAGGAAATGGAAAGTGATTGAAAACACACGAATTTAAGAGATTCGATGGGTGGGAAAAATAAGGCAATGAATTGAAGTTATACTGCCGTTTTTCCTTTTACTTCCCTATACATGAAAATACCTGTCTATTCTAAGTAGGGGTGGTAAGTGAAAGTTGTGTGAAGCGCCCACTGCACCAGATTTTTTATTTTCCCATACCAATTAAATGACCATAGTACTGGATTCCGCCACCAATGAGTTCACAAACTTATTTATTATATTTTATAACACATATATTTTCTTTCTACTATGATTTGCTATCACAACATAATCATTAAGCATATTTAGAATATTGATTAACTGCTAGCAATATCTATTTGAGCTCATACATTTTTTTAGTCGAAACATTTTTCGCTACTTTGTTTGATTGAAGAGCTTGGGCCCGCTGTTTATTATTCCTAGATCATTTAGCTTTTTATTACTTACCTTACTCCTCAGCAGAAATGAGAAATTTCTCCTCTTTCGCAATTCAAATCTCTGCTTTGCATTAGTTCTTTATTTTTCTTGGTCTCGCTTGTGCCCCTTGGATCAAGCACAAGAGAAATTAAAAATACATTTAAATACATATTTAAACAAATCAAAAGTGCAAAACCTTCCTTAAATCCAACAACTCCTGGCTAAATATATTGAAAAATTGGCATAACTATTTCACCATCCATTTTATCCTTTTAACATTATTAAATGCTATTCTTTTAACCTTATTTTAAAAATGAACTATTAGAATATAGATTATTCTTTCGATTCAGGCGTGGCAGGAGTTATGACGTATTCAATAAGAAATATTTTTTTTTTAAATTAACCAACATACAATGGTCTTTTACTGTCATTATGGTCTTTTACGACCAGTAGCCCATTTCTCAGAAGATAGCCTTAATAGTGATTATAAAAATAGACGTTTTCACTACCAGCTTTAATAAAAGTCGTAAATGTAAACTCATCCACTATTAGTGGAGGCATACGTGAACAACTCAGAGAAAACCTTTGTCTGCCGAGTTGAACCTTGTTAAGTATACCATCTAGATTTTTTTAAAAAACATTTTGATTTGTTATAGATACTTTCAATCACTTGCAATAAGTCATAAGTTGATTTTAATTTAATGAAAAGAGATTGCTTGAGAACTTAAGGGGCCTCCCTTTAGATTGTTTACATATACCTGCTTAATTTTCATATGACATGACTCTGACCTCATTAGTTGAAGGAAAGCAATTTAAAAACTATATCCAGGCGAAGAGGATGACAAATAGTCAGGATTTACAGTCAATGCTCAGTATTGATTTCACTAACAAACCATATATTGACTCTAAATCCCAACTCTCTGTCTTTCTATTAATTTTAAAATTACAGTCAACCATATATCCACCCTTAAATCCAGATTAAGTAACTTTTTTTTAAATGGAGAATAATAATGTTACGTTTTTGATTTATATCTAACTGCTGATATATCGAGTTTTTTTAAAAATAATGTTCATTTAAAAAGAACTGCCCCTTTTTAAGTGTTGACTAAAATCTACACATTATATTTTCTCTTCAGGAATAACTTGAAAATTATTAGAATTAAAGTTGATTTTGCCACCCATACCTCCTGTTGTTCAGTCCTAAAAAAAAAAAGGCATGAATCAATTGAATATTTATTTTATTTTTTTAAATGTTAACTAACTGGTCAATAGATCGATAGCTTTAGGCAACACTTATATTATTAACATATAGTATTTTAAATTTAATTTAGTAAATATAAACTTATTTTTGCAGCCTGGCAGGGATGTCCCGCTCAGTGACTGTGGCCGTAGCCTATATCATGACCGTCACTTCTCTTTCGTGGAAGGATGCTCTCAAAGTGGTGAGGGTCGGAAGATCAGTTGCTAATCCCAACGCTGGTTTCCAACTGCAACTAGAGGAATTCGAAATGACTAAGTTAGCAGAGGTATTTATCAATAATATATTTTTCAAGTTCCTAAAGTATGATGAATTTCTATTTGAGCAATACACAGACTTGCATTCTCATGCTTTTAGAGAGTGTGATAATAATAGTGAGTGTAATATTAAGATGTTATTGAGAACAGGGAAAACAATGAGGTTTATGATTGTATCTATTTAATGTAACAAAATAGAATAAAAGTATAATGAGACATAGAGCATAGTTAGTTTCATTTTAGTTTTTTTATCACTTTTCTTTAAAATGTATGTTTGGAACTTTGATTCATTCATTTATAGTTTGCCATTTTTTTTGTTTAAAACTGTGCAGAATTTATTTTTAGGTTTTTTAATTATATACAAAAACCTGGTGACCCTAAAACCTGAATGTCTATTTCTGGTACAATATATCCTGTTAGAACATCCCAAGTTTTTAGTGAAGAATTAACTAATTTACTTAAAAGAAAAAAAAATTGATAAAAGATTTAAATTTGCCAACAGTTTAACCCATTTTGCAAATGTCGACCATTAGGATTAAAGTTTAAATGATGAAAATTTCTATTAAAGTGTCCATTGCCGGTACATTTACATAGTTGAAATTTATGTTAATAGTTTTTTTTTTTTCTTATATCAAAGAGTTAGATACCACAAATTACTTAAAATGTCTTTACTTATTGATATTTAGGAGCGACGCAGATTGAAAGAGAGGTTTCCCTCGCTTGCGCTGGCAGCAAGTGATGAAGCCGAGTGCCAACTAATTCTCAATTCCTATGACAGCCTTCTCCTCTCGAAGAAGTTCTGTGAAGGAAACTGCCCGATGGGCCAAGTCTGCCCTTCAGGACTTTGCCGATCACCTAGCAAAACGTAAAATTTACTGAAGCCTAAATCTACTTAGAGTCAACTTTTATAGTTGTAGCAGTGTCTCAGAAAAAAATATATATGAGTACTACTCATTTGTTGAAGTTTTAATATTTTAAAGTATGAGATTTATGCAGGTTGTGAAAAAGATTTTTTTTCTCCTGCTTTATTTATTTATTTAAAAAAAATTAAATTACTTTAAACTAGAAAAAAAAATTAACAATAAGTTTCCTTGATAAAGTTTGTGGCTAATAAATATTTAATTACTAACATTTTATAATAGTTAAGATAAATTCCCCTCCTAAAGCTAATATTAATTAATACACAATTAACTGGAGTAGAACACTTACTTCCATCATGAATTTACTACCTACACTTGATATCTAATACTGAGTATTCTGGGACAGTACTACTTTTACTATGCAATGTTACTTTGTGTGCAGCTCACTTGCCCTTCTATTTCTATCGCACTGCATGTGTATTCAAGAACATACCACAAAGGCTTATTATCTCAAAAAGCATGTTGTTAATGTTTTGTTTGATATTTCACTCTGACCCCTTTTGTTTTGCACTTGTGTAGATAATATTTTGATAATTTAATGGAAACATAACTAAGAAAATGTAAGAAGAAATTTGTAAGTTTAACTAGTCAAAACAATAATAACATTGTAATCTTAAGTGTAATGAATAAATTGATTACCATATCATTAATTTGAAACAAATATTAGTATTGTTAGATGAACTATTAGGATAGGATTCAAATGCTAAGATTAATATTTTTGTAATATACCCTGTTTCATTTTGTAATTTTGTACTTTTTTTATTAGTAAATATTCAATATTGTAATTTTTATTAGTGATTAAAGCAAATGAATTTTTGATTTATCCTTTATTTTTTTCACCTTTATATCCTAAATTAATTCAAAATGAGACATAAGACTAATCTAGTATGATCAAAACAACAGTCATATTGACAAGGATATTGGGTTAAACAAACACAACATAAAGGTGTATTAAATATTTTCTGCTTGGAAATGTTTTTTATTTATGATATTCAATGTATTTTTTTCTTTTTAATTGAAATGCTTTACTTGTTGTTTATGATTCTATACCTTCTTGTGATACATTCCCTTGATGTTTTGATTTTATTATTTATTTAAATGATTTATATAGATGTATACCAACTACAACGAATGCATGTTATATTCCTCCGTTGTTCTACATTAAAAATTGTATTCCTATGTATTTTAAATATTGATGTTTTAATGCTTTACTGTGTATTATGTTGCTAAAAGTCGAATTAGCAATTTAAGGAAAAACCATCTGAATTTTGTAATCCCCGAAAGAAAAGAAATCAGGAATGAAACACTGAAGGTAGGTATTAACTGTGTTTTTCCTAAAAATGAGTGCATGTTTTTCCTTTTATATGTTAATTTTTTTTTTAATATGACTTTTGTTTGTTTTTAAAAGGAGAATGAAGTTATATTTGTTGGACAGGAGGTTGGCCCCGAACAGGAGAAAGTCATCAAGCACCCCTCCGAGCTCCCCGCGACTGACGAGTAGCCACCTATCTCGGTCACCAAGCACCATCAGCAGCTCTGGGCGTCGAGCTCGCTCTGGACCCGGCGGCCTTTCTTCATATAGTTCGGCTCCTCCCTCTAGGTCTTTCAAAATATTTATTTCAATTTCCTAATTTATTAATTATTATCTCTATTTTACCAACACAGGACTTTGTGCTTCTTATTAAGGGCTTCCTTTTATTTATTATTTTATTTTCATTAAGTAAATATAATGGAATTTATTTGTATTAAATTACAAAATATAGCTCACATGAGCGAATATTTGAAATCTAGAAAACCTACATGGAAGACCAAGAATTTTATACCAGGATTATATTACGAGATTTGGATGAAAAGATATTCCAACAAATAAAGCAGCTCAACTTGGCTGGGCCTCAATCCAACAATCCCAGGCTCACTATAAATGAAATTAAAAGAAATAATAAGAAGTATATAGTTGGTTTGTGTAAATGGATTGATACGGTGGTACTGCAGGATCCCGAGAAAAGAACCTTATATGCATACTTGCTAGACTATCGATTCTCATTGATAGATCTGGAAAAGAATATAGAAGAAATATGGTCAGATATCAGATGCTGTATACTGAAGACTCCTACAGAGATATACACTAAGAAGAAAATTAACAAAAGGGAAAAAAGAACAGATTGAAGAAGTTGAATGTGCAGTGACAAACAAAAAGAAAGCCTGGAAAGAATATATGACAAATAAGTCTCAGCAAAACTGGCCTATCTATGTTCATATAATATATGAACATGAATATCTCAAATATCTCAAAGCAATATATATAATATATTTGGAATATCTCAAAGCATGCTAGGGAGTCTAAGAGAAATTCTTGGGAACAATTTGGAAATGGACTAGACCAGGAATTATAGAGAAAATATAAGAAAGTTTTGGAGAGAAATTAAAGGTTGTAGAGGTAAAAGCATAAGCAATGTAAGAAATGAAAATGGAGACATAGTAACTGATCCTGCTGATATTCTAGAAAAATGGAAAAGGCACTATGGCACAATATTTGTAGAGCAAATAGCAAGCTCTGAACAATCAATTCTAATCAAGGTAAACAAGATTGTGGCCAAGACTAGGATTTGGACATAATATGGAAAGAAGAAGTTGAAGCGACCACAAAGAGACTCAAGCTTGGGAAAGCAGCAGAAAGGGACATCTCTCCAGAATTCATTAAGTGTTCCAGAAAGGAGATAATTAAGGTACAGTATAATCTTACCCTTAAGATTTATGAGGAAAAGAAAATTCCTAAAGATTAGGAATACAACATTATTATACCCATTCACAAGAAGGAAAGTACAAGCAAGTATGGTAACTACAGACCAATATGTCTCTCTCTGGTCATAAATAAAATATATAGATCGGTCATATCTTGCTTTTTTGGACTTAAAAACTGCATTTGACTCAGTACCAAGAGGGGAAATATGGAAAGCCCTGAGAGTAGAGAATGTACCTAATGTTTTGTTACTTGCAATCAAATCAACATACCAGGCAACACAAGGCTTTGTGAGAATTAAAGGTCTGGAGTCTAATTGCTTTCCGATGGAAAAAGGAGTAAAGCAGGGGGATAGCCTCAGTCCTCTACTGTTCATGATCTTTATGGAAGAAATAATAAAGATTTGTAAGAGAAGAAAAATAAGAGCAGATGACATACTCCTCATTGCTGACTCTACACATAACCTCCACCAAGCCCTAGTTGAGTAACGAGCAGAATCTAGAGGGGAGGGCATGAATATTAATGCCAGAAAAAGTAAAATCCTACTTGTAGGATGAGAACCCGAACAAATCCACTTAACATGCAGAGACGAGGAGCTTGAATTCGTGAATGAGTTTTCCTACATTGGTATTGTATGTATCAGCAGAAATATAAAAGTTCAAGCAAAAATATCCCACAGGATATGAAAAGCTAAAAGTTTATGCTGTTTCATTAGCAACACAATCGTAAGACAGAGGAAGGTCAATAAAGACTGCCAAGCTCCATATTTTCAAGGCCCTATCTATGCCTGTTGTGCTGTATGGAACAGAGCTGGGTACTCCCGGACAACAAATGGAGACGAATAACTGCTGCAGAAATTAAATACTTGCACAGAGTGGCTTCCAAAACCCTCAGGGATTAAGCACTAGACCTAGAGGAAGACCAAGACTTAGCTATAATGACTATTTTTCCATGTTGGGACAAACGATAGGAAAGACATTTCATGAAATGAAGACTCTTGCAAGAGAAAGAGCTAGATGGAGATCCTGGGTTGGATTAACTCAATGCTGAATGGCTCAAGGAGAAAGTTAGAGAAGAGAAGAAGGTCAATAGAAAGGAACCTCCAACTTATCTCGTGCAGAAAAAAAGGAAACCACCAGGACAACAATTTAAATGTCTAGATATTTTATTTAGTTTATTTTGCCAACTATATGCAATTAATTTTGCGTCTTCATGTAATTTATATGTGGCATCAATTTTTCTATTTATTTTATTAAATGGATACATTGTAATACATTGAGAAATTATTTTAAGTATCAAATGATAAGTTTGAAATCTTTTTTATTGAACAGATCTAAGATATGAAGTCAGCATAGGATCAGTTTTGATTCAGAAAGACCTTTAAAAAAATATTTCATTGTTAAATTAAAAATTTTGACAAGTAGATTGTTATTTAAAAAGAAGGTATTTAGAATCTAACGAAAAGCAATAACTGAAGGTACTGATTTCGAAAGCAATATTTAGATAAGCAGCTAGTAAACGTTTTACTATATACAGGATACTTCAGATTGACTTAAGAATAAAAATTTCTCTCTTTTTCTTGAAAAGTCACAAACTAATTTTAGCCTAGGAGTAAACTAGAATTAATTTACTCCATGGCTAAACTGTGACAGGTAAAACTTTTTTGTACTATTTTATAAGAATATTTCACTCCTAGTAGAAATAAATCCAAGACTAGAATAACCTAAAGGCACTTAATAAGTAAAGGGAGAATTTCCCGTATAAAGTATAAAATAACAAATATTATTTTGAAAAGATAAAATAATGGTGAAACTAAGATGGTATGAATGGCTATTAATTGAAATAAAATGTATCATAAAAATAGTTTAATGATTTATATATATCTTATATTCTGTTTTTTTTTTTTTTATTGTTTTTTTTTTTAGATCATCTTCCAGGAGTGATCTTTCTTCAGCTCCAATTTTGTCCGCACCAACATCACCTCGTCCTAAAAATAGGCTCTCGTGAAAAAAGTCTGCGATTAATAAAATATTTTTGTACATAACAAGAGTTGTGCTTAACAAATTTACTTCACGTACTTATTGTGATATGTAATTTTTAAGTAATTACTGAGTTACAAACAATCATTAAAGTTTCAGTACAGATGTGCAAAGGTTAAAGAATGATTATTTCAATATTCCTTTATGGAACTTTTTATTAATCTTGCTTACCTTGCCTGTTCATATTTCCTTACAGTGTTTATATTGTTGCTACTGTTTTTACATAATGTGTTGATGAATATAACAGTATCATGTGATGAGTGCTATGAACTTAAAAATAACAATTAATGTAATTAACTATAACAATTATACCTATAATAATCTACTGTAGTCCTTATTCTTCAGCACTTAGCTTTTAAAATTCTCTTCGCTACGTGACCCTTTTAAAGTTAACAATGACCAATTATTGTAAGGAATGATACATACATATCTTTCAAAGAAGAAGGAAGTGGGTATTTTATTTTTTTTATTTTAACGCGGTTGTGTGTATATTTGGACTAGTTGTGAAGATTTCCTTCATTACTTTCGTATGTAACAATCAATACCGTTTACTAAGATAAAACTGAAAGCAACAAGCGCGCACAATGCACAAAAATCAAACGCTCAAGTAGTTAGTTAACATAGGTTAACTCTGCATAATAATAGAATTTGCATTTAGAACTCAATATATATATATATATATATATATATATATATATATATATATATATATATATAAAAGCTTACATAACAAATACTTTTTGGAAATGGGCAATTGCTTTGCTTCAATAATTGTTATCATAGCATTAAAAGATGCATTTATTTCATACTAACCGTAATAAAAATTAAATTTTGAAAAGATTTTAAAATGATAATCACCAGCAAGATAAATGTTTCTACTATTGTAAAAATGTTACTATAATTGTAAATTATTACTGTATTGTGAATTTAAAATGAATATTAAGAACTAATGATATTTGTAACACATTTAGTGATGGTATTGTGATCATTTTAAAATCATATAAGATAATTTCTTCTAAATTGTCCATTTTTTCATACCTAAAGAGAACAAGGAAGAGTGAGAAAACACTTTTACAAAACCGTCCACTTGGAAAAAAAGTTTTCAATACAAAAGAAACAAAATACATAATGAAAATTTCTTTAAAAACTAAAACATTGTCATATTACTGATCTAAACTTATTTATAATTTGAAAGTTTTATTAAATTTCTAACAAACATATATTCTGATCGATCTTCAATGATGTGTTTATGAAATTCAATAAATTTATTTATTTTTATTAAAATTTTGTTGATTATCAATCAAAGAACTATATAACGCTGATTCTCTCTTAACCATCTCTTAGGTAGTTTCAACAATGTATAAATAACAGATGTTATATATCTTTGTTTTAGTCATGAATTTTTTCAACATAAAACTCATTTAATCTCGAATAATTAATTGCAATTAAGAGGGAAATTACTCTACAGATACAAAGGATAATAAAGGTGTACTTCAACTAATAAATTTAAACTAGTTTGTAATTTCAGATCAAGCATTTCCACAGAAATTAAATTAAATTTCTTTTTTCAAGAAATCATGAGGCTTTTTCACAGATAATTTTGTTATCTTTTATTTAATTTTAATTATTCTTTAATAATTTTTGTTATTTCAATGGACGAACGACCATGATAGTTATTCTCTAGAAAGTAATTTGTTTAATTATTTGTAACACTTATCAATATAATAAAATCAAAATTATTTTAAATTATGATAACGAGAAGGGCTATGTGAGAAATTGTAATTTGAAAATATCAACTATTTCAAGATTTTCAAAATTTAGTATTTATAACTTTCATACTAATGATTTTATTTATTTATTATTATTTTTTTTTTGGTTCTTGAAATAAATATTCAATTGTTTGATTAATATTCATACAAAAAAAAAATAAAATAAAAATAAGGTTGCAATGAAAAGTGGGTCTAAGTTATAAGAGGTTATTTATTAGAAATTACAGTTTATTTGTGGTTTAAATGGAGTTCTGCTTATTAACTTCATAGCAGGGATCTTTTATTATAATTTTTAAAAATATACTAAAATATATAAACATAAAATAATGATAGAACTGCTCTGTACTTTATCCTTTCTGACTATTCTCATATTACTTCTATTGAAAACATTTTAGTTTCAGTATTAAAATAGTTTAATGTTCTCTTAATAAATAAAACTATATTGCACTACAAGGCAATAAATATATATGTGATATTTTACAATACGTATTTATATTAAACAACAATATTATAAACATGTGATTCCCCACCAAGTTTTGTATTCGCCTATGGAAAAATTATATGTGATGTTGATCAATATGTTAATTATTACAAGAAATTGCAAAAGTTTATTAAAAATTATATTTGATTGAAAGTATCAATGGAAACAAAAAGATCTTCAAATTGGACATTTATTGAAGGTGGATTCAGTACTTTTTAAAAAATGATTGATATACCATTATTTAACAATCAACTATAATTAAATTATTAAGGCAGAGAAAGAAATGCAAATGTTACTTTTTATAAAGTTTGTAATTGTTAATAAATTGGTAAAATAAAAGAGGTAACAAATATTATATGCTTGGCAAAACTTAGTTTTTTAGTAATACTAGAAATAGAGTGTAACCATCCCTGATCACAAATGAACAATCAACTTTTGTAGTTTTACACTCACACAGCCAATATTAACTAGATGTATAATGAAGGATAACTAATGTGTTAAAATGTTAATTGTTAACCTAGCGGGTTCTAGGTAGTTAAATAGTTTATATAGTGTTAGTCAATAGGCATACATAAATATTAGAGCAATTCTTTGATACATGAAATAATATTTACAAAGAAAACTAGTTAGTGGATTAGCATAGAAGGTTGTAAATTTATTTTTCTAAAGTTACATTAATTTTTATTATACTTAGTGTTATGTAAATGTTTAACGGACTTATGAAATCCATGTTTATGAATACAGAGTTGGTTACTGTAAGTGGATCAAGATGCTACATATTTTCTATGAATTATTTTTTAATTCTTTATTTATAAAAAGAAAATTGGAATACTTCAACAAAGGAATGATAATTATTTAACTGATGATGATTGAAGGACCGACACATGAAAACTTATATTATAAAATTGAAATAAATATAAATAATGTTTTATTTCAGTTACCTTGGAAACTTGGTACAATAATTTGGGACTTGGTTGGTATCAATAACTTGTACTATAATTGACAGAACTTGCAAACAACTTGTAAATTAAAAAACTCAACTTTTATTAACATACTTGCAATAAGTCTTTATTTATTGAGATAGTGGTAATCATAAAATACTTCTGATAGAATACTTTTTTACTCCCATAGTTTTCTCAAACAACTGTCATTTAATTCAGGGGTCTCCAAACTTTTTGGTCTCCAGGCCACATTGTGACCTCCACTAAGTCCCGCTAGCCATGACATGATGAAAAAAAAAATCTTGTTCTATAGATCGCATTTCAGTTGTGAAATGAGCTTTCTTTGAAATGAACGATCTAATAATATGTAATATACATATTTATTCTAATATACATATTTACAGTAGTAACTATTTACAATTTTATGAGGACTGGATGGATAAGAAATGATTAAACAGGCGGGATTTAAAGGTAGGAAGGGTTTTGGATTGACGGATGTGGGGAGGGATGGAGTTCCACAGGGATGAGGATCGAATAATGAAAGATCTATCAAAAGCAGCGGTTTGGTAGGCACTTGTGTATAAATCAGAAGACCGAGAAAGAGTATTGCGGGTACGAACAGAGGATTTGAATTGCAGGAGCTAGGTTTTGTTTCATATTTACTTGTTGTAATTATCATTTCATACAGTTGTAAATTTCAATAATAAAAAAAAAAGAAAATTTTACCGTGTTACTAAAAAAACTTGCACAGGCTGGATCGGTAGTGCTTGTGGTCCATTGTAAGGAGACCTCTGATTTAATGAGTAGATTGTATATTATCTACTGATTACATTCAATATTTTTATATTAAATCTTAATTTATTAAATAAACAATTAAATGAAATGGACAAAAATAAATGGAATTTTTCAAATGGTATTTTTAAGACTAAGAACATTAATTATCATCGTATCCCTATTGTAAATATAGAAGTTACAACATTGAACTTTGTTGAAATTGTTTGGACATGTATACTTTCATATTAGGATTATTTCAGATAACATAAGTTCTTTTAAGTATATAACAAAAAAATGTTTCATTTAAATGAGAAGTAAAATGGTTTCACAAAATTTAGTTTCCAAATGGCTAAACAATTTTAATCAACATAACATAACAGATTTTTGTGAGGAAAATAGCATCCTGATCCTACTGTCTTTCTTTCACTTGGGGGTCGACTATTGGCTCAATTATTTAATTTATTTGTTATCAGCTATGTCTTTCCGATAAATATATTTGTGTATAAGTAATGTTTTGTTGACCTAATTTTTTGTGTTTATTGTATAAAGTTGTTAACTATAGACACAAAAAAAAAAATCATGCCAAAAATAGAATATCTATTGCTATAATGGTTAAAAACAATTCAATTATTAGATGAAAATGTTACTATTGTATTTTGAAGAATTTATTTATAATATATTGTCACATAATATGGACATTTTCGAATTATTTTCATTTCTATTTATTTATATTTTCAAAATACATTACCCATAAAATTTGGTACAGGTTAACAAAAAAAAAATTGGTGTACACAGATAAGATCAAATTAAATGATTCCAGTATTAATACTATTTAGAAATTATTTGAAAATTTAAAAAAATAAAGTGATTGAAGGAAAGATACATTAAAATGCAATGAACATTAAAAAAAAAAATGTTCAATTCAAAAGGAGCAATTCTAAACATTGTTTTATTGGATTAAAATTGAGAATTTAGATGAACATGAAATCTGAAAACTCTTTAACCTTTTAGTGATGATGAGTGGGAAGAGAGGAGCAGTCTTGTCTTGTGGACAATCAAGATTAATCGAGAGCTTAATTCATGCTTTAAATTAGTCTACTTGAAAATAGTACAGTTAATCATATTTCCCAATGATTTAGAGTGAGTGAGCTATGGGTCTGTGTCAGGCTTCTGGTTGTTAACCCACTTCAATGAGCCTTTAAATGATAACGCAATTGTGAAGTTCCACAAGCCAAGTTAGACTCAAAAGAATATTCTGTTGATATAGAGACTCTCTATTTTAAGACGTTCAGTTTGTACTGACTAAAATTCAGAACACCTGTGGGATAAACTTGGCTGATATGTGTGAAGAACTAAAATTTATCAAAAAAAAGTAAGCTGCAATTTTTAAGAAATAGCTTTATTTGAGAAATGAAAGAAGCCATGAGTAGTGAATGCTTGAAGTTTAAACAAAAGAAGGTAATATTAAATATTGATAATTTATTTTTCACTATATTTTTTCCCCATAGTAAATTGATGTAATTTTATCAAATTAAAAAAAAGTGAGTTGTTTATGTATACAATTTATTCATTAATAATTTTTCTCAAAAAAATAAGGATTATAAATTATAAAAATTATATTAAAAAAAAAATGTACACAGGACGTCCCTCAAGAGCTATAAAAAAGTTCATATGAACATTGATCCAATTTTTAGCAGAAAATTAGGAAATTTAAGTTTTTAAATAAGTCGAGTTGTTTGTTGAATAGGAAGAGATAACTAAAAAAATCTGGTGCAGGCAACACACAACTTTCCCATACCTTTCAACTTTGAATAGAAATTATTTTCTGGCCATGTTGTGAGCTAAATGCTTACAGCTAAAAAATCATAAATACCATTAAAATAACCGACGTCCTATTTATTATATCACCGGTTGATTATGGGTTGTTCAATCCTTCGATTATGGATTATACGATCCATTGAATATGGATTAGTTATTAAACTATTAGTTATTAACTCGACTATTAGTTATTAAACAGTTATTTCCCATTGCAAAGTTTGCTTAAATGGAATTAAGAGATTTACATTGTCTATAATAGACAGATCAAAAGTTATCACACTAATTGGAAGTGGATACTGTTGGAATATTATAAAATGTTTTGGACGTCTGTGGATTTCAGGATGTAATGTATGGTAGAAACTCATGAATGATCACCCACAGTCAAAGAGTTAAGATGAGAGGGTACCAAATTCAATCATTTTTTTTATGACTTGAGATATTTATTTTCTAATATAACTTATTATTTTCTAATATAACTTATAAATTTTTTAGATATAACTTATTTTCTAATATAATTGAATAATAGTTGAATCAAGGAAGTTTTTCTAAAAGTGAGGTAACTGTAGTATAGTTGGAGAGTGATAAAAAAAAAGTTGCAAATAATTTATGATTTTTTTAAAAACAGAACTTAGCTTAGTTTATCCACTCAAAAGTCATCTGTATATGTTTTTACCAATGACGAACTCCATTTCCATTTAAAGTAAATTTTGTCTAGTATACTGTGAAGTAATTATTAGTTACTTACAGTAAATATTTTTTAATAAATAAATAATAAAATAAAAATAAAAATAATGTATTATTTTTACCGCACTCCCGACTAATTTCTTGTGAAATTAAATCCACGGACAACCATCTCCATATCATTATAAATATTTTTTTAGTTATATCTTCCTATTCCACAAAAATCATGACTTATAAAACACAAAACTTAAATTTCTTACTTTTCTTTCAATTGGATCATTGTTAATATAAACTTTTTTGTAGCTCTAGAGGTCTGTTATCATATATATATATATATATATATATATATATATATATATATAAGTTTACCAAATATTTTGAATCAATATTTAGACTTTACAAAACCTAGTTCTTGATTCACTATTCAAAGTTACTTTATATGCAATCTTTAAACTATATTTCATAAATTTCAATAATTTTTTAGAGAACTTCTGTCAAATCTAAATTAATACTTTTTTTATAACAGATAATGTCAACTTAATTTTTTTTTTTAATTACACAAATTATAAAATAACTTAATTGAAAATCTTACAAATTCGTTTCATTACCTTATTCATCTTTTTATTTATTATTTTTTGGAAGATGCTCTTCTTTTAGATAGGGCTTACATTTAGGCCATGTTTTTTTAAGTTTTGGATTGAGACCAAGATACAAATTAACTCCACTCAGATCTTCTAATTCATGCAAGGAAACATTCTTTTTAACACTTCCTGTTGGATTTGAGACATCTGTAATTAAATAGAATAATAAGAATATGTTCATCAGTAATACAATAGAAAATGTTTGGATTGAAAATTAAAGAAAAAAAATAAATGATTAAAAGAATTATTTAGTTTAAACTTTTTAAGATGTGAAATTATAAACTGAACTATGTGCAATAATTTGAAGGGCAGGGTGCCGAGCAGGCTAACGTGTTGTGTAAAACACACATTGCCTTGGCAACCTAATGATGATAAACTTGGATACATTTTTAATATTATACACGAAATTTTTAATTAAATATTTATTTTAAACAATTTAATTCAAAACATATTACAAATTATTGTCTTTATGAATGAATTTATTATCAATTTATTGATCAAAAATATAATCTAGACTCATTAAATTTTTATGGAATATCAGACCAATAAAAATTATATGTTTGTAACAAAATTAAATTAAATCATGGTAATGAAATGACTGACTTTATTTATAATTGAGATTCAATTGAAGTCTTCAGCATTTTTGGATGAATAGCCCTGAAGAAGAACTACAATGTAATGTAAAAACAAATATTACACCAACATATTGTTTGATTGTTGCCCACATCCCTTCCTCATTCCTGCTAACTATTCTTTAAATTAAATTACAATACAACCATTCAGATTCATCAATGTTCAATATTGTAAGCTGGATTCAATATAAATCAAGATGCTGCATTAAGTCTAACCTGAGATGAAATATAGAATTTTCATTTCTTAATTTCTTTTATGTGTTAACTTTTACTGTTAAAACACTTGCAAGTAAGATAATTACAATCAGTTAGTACATTCATTTGTTATGTTTTTGTAGAGCATGTGCATCTTCTTACCCCAAAGTTGGGTGGGAAGCTCTCTACTCAACTCTATTTCCATGGTGTTACAACCCTGTTTGGTCTCCTCAATTAATCTCCACCATTTGGCTTTGTCTTATGCTGCCGCCTTTCCGGTGATGATCCCTAAGAGGTTTCTTGCATCCTCTGCCATTCCATCAGCCCACTTTAATCTTAGTCTTCCAGCTCTTTAGGTCCTATTAAGAGTCTCTTCATATATCTTCCTCAGGATTTCTTTTTCAATCATCCTAACCACCTGACCAGCCCAACTGAATCTTCAAAGCTTCATTGATCTGATCAGATCTGCCTCTATGTAGATTCGGTACAGCTTCTGGTTTTTCGTAATCCTCCAACCTTTGGCAACTCTCAATGGACCAATAATATGCCAAAAGATTATTCATTAGGTCCTTTTCGTCAATTTTGGAAATGATCCATGATTGTGAGGCCTAGGTGAGAACAGGTCAGATTAAAGTCTTATAAACAGTAAGCTTGGTTAGCCTGCTCAAGAGTCTGCTTTGAAAAGTAAGTAGTACCAATTTATGGCAGATAATCTTTTCCATATTTCCCATGATTTATCATTTGAATCTGTCATGTGTGATCCAAGGTATGTGAACTCTGTAATGCTTTCAAAAGTGTAAGGGCCAATAACCAACTCCAGGTCTCCTCCATTCCCTATTTATAAATACTTAGTTTTGAGTTCATTGAGAACAAGGCCAATGGTTGAAGCTGCCCTCACAAGTTAAGGAATGTTACTTCTAGCTCTGGTCAAGACCTTTCAACTATTATCTTCCTCATCGCTGTAACCATGTATCTACACTACATGGGATAAGATCATCTTACATCTGAATCTCTTGCCACTTTTTCTAGACCAAAATTAAATAGAAGACAAGCAAGGCCATCTCCATGTCTCAACCCTTTGACTGAAATAAATTTGGTTGATTAGTCAAATTGCATCAGGACTTTACACCTCACCTCCCTCATTGTCAGCTTTATAAGGCGAATAAACTTATCTGGAACATTAATGTCATACAGTGTCTCATACAGCTCTGACCACTTTATGCTGTCATAAGCCTTTGTGTATCACTCCGCTGCAACAAATTTGTACTTAAGTCCCTATTTTCTACTAGGTCTTGATTTTGTGATTACCAATTTAAAACTTCAAAACATTTACATGTGATTCCAAATAAAATTTAATTTATATTCTATATTTTTTCAAACTAATCTTTTATATTTATTTTCATTCAAATGAAGATTTCTATCGTTTTAGACTCCATAAATTGTGAGGTATGATTATACTTGACAATTTATCAAAATTTTATACATTTTATACTTAAAATAATATTTTTTCAATTTAATTAATTATTTAAAACATAAATAATCTTCTTATAATTTCCTTGTAATTTCCCAAAATTTCTCCTTTGTTGATAATTTTTGTCCTAAGATTTTATATCCTTATATAAGAGTACAATATGAGTATGTTTTTATTTATGGCTAATTAAGTACATTTATTTTGTTAAGTACACAAGCCCAAATTTGTTTCTATTCTGGCATTAAAACAGCTTATAGTTTTTGTGACAATAATTTGTGAATCAGATTATTATATGAGTAAAATAATCATAATTACATTCAAATGTAAAAATAACAACGTTCTTGACTATATACATCTATCAACTGATAAGTAGAACACAATATTATAATATCTTGTAAGCTAACATTTTTATATACATTTACACATTAGGTAGTATTATCATTGTATATTATTTAATAAAAAATAGTGCATTATAAATATTCAAAGATAATTCATATTAAAATGTAAATGATATTCTAAAATTTAGTCTCAATGAACATACAGAGAAAATAGTCAGAAGGTTGACATTGTAGAAGTGGGTTGAGAAATTTGAATACATCTTCTATTGTTTCATCGCATCTGAACATCGCTTGAATCGCAGTTTCATCAGGCAAAAATAGTTTTATTTCAATACTGCCATCAGATGACCTTAAAATTAAGAAACTAATTAACTGATTATCTATTGATCATGATATATTTATCCATAATTTTTAATGCAAGTAAATACATGAATTTGGTAGTTGATGAACAAAGAATTTTTCCTTGAAAAGAAGAATGCTATCTGAGTAAATTTTCTCAAAAATATATTTGTTTTCAATGATACACTCATGTTATGCTAGTTTTTTAAAAAATAATACATAGATTAAAAAAAAAATCTCGAATTGTTTGGTGTTAATTCATTATTTTATTAATATTTGAGCCACTTCAATAATTGATATTGTACATTCCTCAGGGGCAAATGGTGATTTTATATGAAAATATATAAATGCAATAGATTTTGAGGAGAAAGAATTAATTACTTTTTTCAAGGCCAATTATAGTTTCTGAATAACAAGGAAATATTTTCTTTTTCATAACTTATTTCTTGCTATTTTTGAGAGATGTGCTTATTTTTTTGCACTATTGGATAAGGTAATTTTCAAAGCATTGGTTTTGATAAGGCTTAAGGAAATTGTGTTGCTGATGAAAAATTCTTTTGAAAAATAATATATGAAGATTAATACAATAAAATTTAACAAAAGAAGATTTTTTTATCTTTGTTAGCTGTGCAGTAATTTAAAGTTTTATCAGGTTAGCAAAAGACATCTTAAGGAATAGGGTACCATGACAACATTTACTCTACAAAGGCTTTTTATTATTTTTGGAACGTTATGAGAATGAGAGGAAAAGGTGTTTCACTCCTCTGCCAAATAATTTTTAAATCCAAAAAGTTGTGAAATTTGATATTTGAGAATAAAACATTTTACCCAAGGAGTTACTAAAATAAAAAAAAACAATACCAGTAACTTTTAAATTAAGAATTGGGATTTTATCGATACAATTTGCGTTTTCAAAGAAAGGGAAATAATTGTTGACAAGAATGAATATTTATAACTGATAAGATGAAACTTCAGTAAAGTGATGATTATGGCGAGAGAAGAAGAGGAAGACGTCCAATTGGTTTGCAACGGAGAAATTCTTGAGGTGGTAAAGGAGTACACATACTTAGGTACCATAATTGCTAACGCTGGTAAGATAGATGCTGAGATTTCGTATAGAATATCTAAGGCGAATCAAGTATATCACCAGATCGCTAGCAGTATCCTCAGCTGCCGTGAAGTGGATAATAATACCAAGATGCACGTCTATAAGTCTGTATACCTTCCTATTCTCACCTACGGCGGAGAAAGTTGGACTATGTTGGACAAACATTATAGTCGCATAACAGCAGTGGAAATGCGATTCCTACGTAGATCAGTGGGCAAAACTAGGAGGGATCGCATTAGAAATGAAACTATCAGAGAACAGCTGGAAGTGGCAGAACTCAAAACTACCTTGGAGAACAGGCAATTAAAGTGGTTTGGACATGTCTGCCGCATGAACGAAGGACATGGACTCTATAAAGATATTAGAGGCTCGACCCACAGGGAAGAAGCCACGAGGGCGTCCCAGAGTCTCATATCAGGAGTTCATGGAGAGGATCGGAGGTAGAAGAGGCAAATCCTTCAACCAAATGAAGCGGTTAAGTAGAGACCGGGAAGGGTGGCTGCGTTGGATAGAGGCTCCTCGACGCTAGAAATGGCATTGTGAGGAAGACAAAGAAGAAGAAGATGAAACTTCAAATCCAAAATAAATAAGAATAAAATATGTATTTTGTACTATTGTTGGAAAAATTATAATATTTAATGAAGTCAGGAAATCTAGTTAAGATTGCTGATAAATTTCAGATTTTTCCACTCAAAACAAATTGTTTCAACATCACTGGTCACTGTTTTTAGAATCAGGAATAAAAATGAGAAGTTTTTAACAGAATATTAAGCGTGTTGTTCAGTAATTATGAGTGTAGTTCAGTGGTAAATAGTTTTACCTGGTCGAATCTCTTCCCAAGTCCAGTAAGTCAACTGCAGAATCCTCCCTTGGGATCATTCCGAAAGGCTGCTTATTAATATAAGCAATACCTTGCCTCGAATTCAGCTAAAATGAAATTTCATAAATAGCAGACCTGGGCAAAAAGTAGTTATTATTATTTTATACGGTTATTATTTTAAAATACAGTAGTATTTGAAATACCATGTATTTTGTATTTTTAAAAGATTGAATAGTTAAATAGCTAATAACAATTAGTTTTATATTTTACCTTTTAAAATTCTAAATACAAAAAATTAGTTTTTTTATATTTTAATTGTAAGCGGAAGGCCATTTAAGAGGTATATTTGGGAAATATTTTAACAGGCTTGAAAATGGTTTCCATCATATTCATCTATACATCTATTCATATTTTAATACAGTAATTCACTTCAGTAAGTACTCAGTTAATGTGAAATGGCAGATAACACAACTGATAACTTAGTCCCGTCAAAAACAATGAATTTCTAAACTCAGTGCTGAATTCATTGGTGACCATCCGAAATCCATTGGGCAACTCATCGATGTATCAATTAATGGAATTCAGTGGGTTCCTTTATTCATTGATTAATCTCCTAAGCTCAAGGGTTATAACCTCAAGGTTGTTAATTTTCTACTTATTTTAAATATTTATGTTCTGTTTACTTTCTATCTATATTTATTTCTGTTTCGAAACTCAAAAAATCAGCAGGTATATATTTTCATAAATTTTTTTTCATGTAATTTGTAAAATTCTAGGACAGCTGACTCCCGATGGAATCCATGTTGAACCCAGAATAAATCATGGAATTAGGCAGTGCCAGCCTTAGACATTCCATGCCCCCTCTCAATGACGTCATCTCTCCCCCACTTAAAAAAATTAGATTTATTTCATAAGCTCTTTTTACTTTCCTACTTATACTAGGTAAGGAAAGTATTGCAATTGGGTCAAATTTCCGACATGCGGCTTTCGGCGGATCTATCCGTTTCAGAATCCCCTGAGTTTCAGAGCCTGTCCTTTGAAAGGTAATGAAATTCCCTACAAAGCCATATAAAAATCGTTCATTTTGGACAACTATTAACGAAGTTACAGCTATTCAATTTCCAATGTAAGATTACCGTTTCATATCCTGGTGTCAGAAAAGGGGTGAATGAGAGAATAAAGATGACTAAGTGAAAGTAAGAAAATCTGTTGCCCGCATCACACAATCTTCACTATTTCCTCTACTTTTAACAGAAATTATTGTTTGACAATACTAAGCTATGGCAAAAAGTTTTTGATCATCAATATTAGGAAGTATTGAAATTTGTATACTGATCTACATTAAGCCGGTTTACATTGCTTTAGTTTATCAAATAAATCATACTCAAATGTTATGTTTGATCAATTTTCAGGGAAATGTATCTAGTTCAATTTTTTTTTTTCTTCATGAACATATGTAAAGATATAAAATTTTTTCTGAAATAGGTAGGAAAGTCGTTTGAGTGGACACATCAGATATTTTTTATGTGATATTTGAATTGTATTGCATTCAACATTTCTCTAATGCAGTTGCTTTATTGGCAGACTAAAATTAATTATTTTAATACGTTTTGTAACCTTTGTTTTATTTCTTACAAGTGGCGAGGGTCCCCCGATTGCCTAGCATCACCCAAAGGCCGGCACTAGAATTTGTGCTGAATTTAGGAACTTGCCCACAGTTCTTTCGCATCACGCTAGGCTAGAACAAAATTGATTTTGACTAGAAACCTCCATTTATTGGGTTTAGAGCCTTTTAGTTTTACACCGTCAGTAAATATAGCTATAGAGAAACTTATCATCTATCAGATATGTAGAACTTGTTCGGCTTATACTAAAATTCGTGTAACATGAATTATTTTGATCAAGAAATAGAGAATTTAATTTCTCTCCTATTTGATGTTAACAAAGGACTACTGTGATAATAGTATTACTTACATACTTAAGATCATTAAGTTTTTTTTCTGGAGTCAAATAAAAATGTTTATCGATGGCTGCTTTAGCTGTCAAATTTGTAGTAAAATTTGTTTCCATTATAGTTTTAACATTTCTCTTGTCAGTAAAACGAAAAGCATTTCCTTGTAGACTTTTCATTTATGAAAAAAAAATGAAATTAATTTATTAAATAATTTGGCTTAATTAAAGAAAATTATTGTCAGTTTTGGACCAAAATAAGATTGGTTGCACAAGCGATCAAAAAATAGATGACTAAAAATGTTTTTTTTTGTAAATTGAAAACAAAGTAAATGATATGATTATTAAAGGTGAGCATTTTAATTGCTAGATGTTTCGGGCCAAAGCCCCTCAAAAAATGGTAAAATATAACCATGTTTTACAGAAAAAAATATTAAAAACTATTTTTTCAAGTATTATTGTTCGTGTAAACATTATTGTATAAAGTATTATTGTAAGTAAACATTTAATAGAACTTTAAGAATCACTAAAATACCATGTCATATAAGTAGTTTTTTTCAAATTAATTATCTTTATATATATGAAAACAAATTTAATTTTGGGGGGCTTTCGAGCTGAAGCCCCCCAAAATTAAATCCTGAATCCCCTAGTGGTAGCAACATATCCTAGGATTTTACGATACATTGAAACTTTTGAACCTTCCTATCTTTACATAAAGATTGTATCATATCAATTTGAAGTATCGGAGAATTGAGCGTTCATCTCACAGTCACAAAACTTTAAATAGAAGAAGAAGAAAAGTAAATTTTATTCTGAGACATTTAGTCTCCTAAGAATAATTACAATGAGCAAAAAGATGAAAATTGTCTGGTATAATAAGAAAATAAAAAATAATTAGTTATAATAACATAATAATTTAACTTTAAAATTAAAGTAAATTAAGTACAAGTAAACATATTAATTTGCACATAAATACATATGAGTGTGTTCATATATTTGTTCTGATTAAAAATATTGATAATATATAAGTAGCAATAATATAACAGTCAAATGAAGGTGACAGCTCTTAAATACGAAATTTTGTTCTTACATGTATTCGAAAGATTGATTGATGAGGAGGTGGAATAATTGTTGTTTTAATGAGGTTAAGGAAGAGGATTTGCATATGAAGGTAGGTATTGAATTCCAGAAAAAGGTAGGACGCATGACATAGGATATTTTAAAGGAAACGGTTCTATGAGAGGGAATAAACAGGTTTAGGACTTGGGAGACTCGCGTTAAACTAATGAACAGAGGAACAAAGAATAAACAAATCAAGAAGGTAAGATGGCTTTTTGGTTGGTAAAGGTTCGAAAAAGGATTACATCTAGGAAATTTTCCCGCCGAAGAACTGCATAGAGCCACTTCAACAGGCATACCAGCTGGAGACCTGGGAGCGCCTGGGACTACAAAAACGAATCGAATGAAACAATTCATTAATCTCTTAATAAAAATAAAGATATGTAATACATTCAATTGCTTTGGTAACATTTTTTCAGATAAATCCATATGCAAAAAAACAAACTAAATATGTAAACTGTGGATTGATGGTTGATTGAAGTGATTAATTGAAGAGAAGAGTCTGTTTATTACAACAGTTTGGGTGATCAGTAAAAAAAAAAAAAAGTAAAAATAAATATTTATATTTAATTATGCCAGAATTAAAATAAATATACCTATTTATTTTTACTTTTTTGTTTTACTGATCACCCCAACCATTCTTCTCTTCAATTAAATATATAAACATAAATCAGTTTATTTTTATATATAGTATTATATTGTTCGTTTAACAATAATTATGTGGATTATTACAATAATAATGTAAACTTCCGAAACTTATTTTTGGAAGGGAGTCTACCTCCCTCCCCCTCCAACTAGAATGAAAAGTCTGTGCCGATAATATAAGAGGAAATTTTCAAATAGATTTTTTAAAATACCTTGAGATTGGTATTTCAGGTTTATAAGTGATATTTCTCCTCAACTTTTGTCTTAATGCTTTATTCCATTTCTTTTTTCTTTCATAAATAGACTCTTTAGTTGAATCATCTTCCAGCGTTGTATTTGAGTCATAAAGATCTGTACTAAGAATTAAATACAACTATTAATTATTAATTTCTAAGAGAATATTAATATACTATAAGAATAAAAAAAAAATTCCTGTGTCAAAACCAAGAGACATAAGCCAGCTCGCAACTAACGTCGCACATACAATAAGTATTTGAGTTTTACCAGTTTTAATAAAATTATACCTTGCCTCCTTTGACGTTGAAGGTTTGTTCGAGAAGTGCCTGTTCAAATTGAAGGAAGCGCTGATTATTTTACTATTTCTTCTTACAGAATTCTTGTCATTTTCAGTGTTTAAATTTTCTGATGAGTACTTACGAGTCAATCTGAGAAAGAAATATATTTTTTTTCCTCGGTATTATTTGTTTTAAGAATTCACTAAATAATTAATTCATGATAATAAAATAAAATAGTTAGAAGCTGGTTGTCACAATAAATTAATAAACGAAGCCCAGAAAGCTGGACTATTGAATAATGCAAGGATTGTAAGGTGTATCCTCAATATTTAACAGGAATAAAAAAAAATATATTTAAATTTTTTTACAAATAAATGATAGTATAATTAGTTATAATAATTGATTTTTTATTTATTATGAGATAGATTCTTTAATAATAAAATTCCGTGCAACATTGGTGGATTATAAAGCCTTGGAGTTAGTGTTGCCCAAAATCAGTCTTGGTCTTGCACTTTGCCAAACTTAGACCAAGACCAATACCACCTATCTGTTGCAAGACCAAGACCAAGACTGCTAAAAAAAGTCGATGTTTTGAAAAAAAATTGAGGCAAAATAGTTGCTAATACTTGACAATTTTCGTTACTATATATAAAGAATTGGTGTAACCAATATACTTTTGCATTTTACTCTTTTAATTTTTCATTCAGAATTAGTTAAGTTTCTCATATCTAAAAAATTACAGTAATATCTCTTTAGTAATAAGCTAATAGGTAACTGCAAGACTACTACGAGAGTCTTGTATAAGACCAAGACCTAGAGACCAAGACTGAGTTTGGAAGACCAAGACTCGTCTCGGTCTCACATTTGGGCAACACTACTTGAAGTAAATTAAATTAAGATTAAAAATAATACTAAACAAACACTCAAAGCTTCAAATTAATTATAAAACAGAAGCCTTCCATTGGGATAAGCTAACTCAACAATTTATTTTAATTTCCCATTTCTGGAACCACTTTTCATGCTCATGGAAGTGGTTTTGAAGCAACAGTTGGATTTAACAAAAATAAAAAAAAGTAATTTCAAATTATTTTATACAATTAAAATCAATGTGGACTGAATTGCCCTTGTCAACTTAATTTAATTAGGCCTTCCTCTATGTCTGGAGGCTCATTATAAATAGATTAATTAATATAATAGACTAATTAATTAAATGAAGTTCGCAAGGGCAATTCAGTCTACTTGATTTTTGTTGTATAAAATAGGCTTCTTCCCTTGAAGAGCTGAAACGTTGATTTAGAAAGACAAATAAAGTAGGACTATTTTGATAAAACATGTGTGGTTTTTATTATTATTATTGAGCTGAAGTCATAACCTACTAGTTGAATACATATGTTTAATAAAAAAATAAATATAATAAGTCATAATGACCTATCGCGTTTTTTTATTTATTTATTTAGACATGTAATATTCTGTCACAGGGACAATAATTATATTGATAAATGAATACATTTACACCGTAATCGCGTTTTTAAAATAAAATAAGTATATTTCTTATATTAATAAATTGGTTAAAATAAGGAAGGTCTATTTACAAATTACAGGGAAAGATTGATTAGGTGGGATCTAAAGTTGGGAAGGCTACTGAAACAAGAGAAGGAATGTAATTTTATACGGAAGAGAATTTGTTTAACGCCGTGGATTGGTGGGATGTTATATATAAATCTGAAAACATAGGACAGATATTGCGGGGGAAAACACATGATCGGACGACTTATAGTATAACAAAAATAAATAAACCAAAATCTGAGAACTTACGATTTGTTTATTATTTTAGTTTTGTTAATTTTATGTTTTATGGTGTGAATGTGTTCATAAAACACTGTAATTTCTGTCCACGTGACAGATTATTATATTTCTAAATATAAAAATAAAATATTTCAATGGGCATATTTTGACACTGAGTGTAACGTGTCAAAATAACGAGGTTATTTATAGACAAGCATATAGGTATGTATGTGTTTTTTTAATTTAATTTCCTTATTTTTATTTTATTTATTGTATATACTTTTTGATTATTATTCATTTGTTACTTTGTTTCTGTTTATTTTATATTTTTTTGTACATATAATGTGAATGGGATCTTACCTCACTGTAAGTAATGTCCAAGTGACAGAATTTTTTTTTTTTGTTCTTCCCTACATCGCCTTTTAGGCTATACGGGATTTTCCTGGGCCGGGGGGTGAGGGCGGGGAATTTAAAATCCCCTCTGGCACCTGGATGCGAACTCACACTTTTTTAATCTTCTCAAATCTCTTATCCGGTTGCCAGGCAACTCGCGGTGCAGTGCACACGCTTTAGCCCATTCGGCCACTCCGCCCCCTCAAGAGACATACTGTTGTAATATTGAATAAATAAATTTATAGATAGAACTTACGATAAATTCAAAGCCCCTTCAAACTTCAGCGCTGACAATGTTACCCTCTTCAGGATGCCAGGTCCACTAAAACATTTGCTGAGTAACGATATACAAATTCGGTCCTCCTCAAGAAATCTGTCTTTTGGAATTAACTCCTGAGATATATCCCAAAGCGTGGCTGTTTAAAAATCTAATCAATGGTTATCTTAATTTAAACGAATAATGTATGATTAATAACTCAAATATCAGATGTGAAAACAAACTCAATAATTCTCAATGACTTAATTATTGTTGCTTTGTAGCAAAAGATTGAATTTTGATATATTAATTAATAAGCCTACCATCTTTCCGAAATTTCCCCGAATTGACTATTCCGTCTCCAATAATTAAATTTACCGTTAGCAATTCTGTCTTCTTCTCATGTTCGGTGACAGGATGAAGCTCCAAGGAAACACCATCAGGGAGATCAGAGAACATAAGATTCATGTTCAATTCTAGTTTCTTATTGGCATACCTGAAGCAGATGAAAGTTCATAATATCGTTAACAGTCAGTCGATAATTATCGATTCTATTAGCTATCTTACCTCAGCTCATGTTTTTCTGGTCTTATCTTGAAAACTTTGCAGGCAGAATTCAAAACCTTAAACAAATACTCGGAATCACATAATTTAATTTGACTTGTGAACTATGAAAGACTTTGTGATGATTCAAGAACAATCGATTAACAGATAAATCTTACTTGATGGATGAATTATCGAAAACTTCATGTAAAAATAATTGAATAATAGAAAAATTTCAATCGGCAAGAGTCGTTTTATTTAAAGGGAGAACGAAACTGTATCTGACGTTATGTTAAAAAAAAACGTCATTTTCTAATCTTATTTTTTATCTGAATCGCGAATAAAGGATATAGACTTCAATTTTATTATTTCATTCAAAATTTAAGTTCGAATAGTTTTAACATAAAAAATTGACATGCAAATAAAATATTTAATAATTTGATGAATTTTTATGGTCATTGAAGCTGAAGTGATATTTCTGAAACTGAAAATATTTTATAGGAGTTGATATTTATGTTGATCCATTTTTTAAAACCAGCCTGATTGCCTTAAATATTAAGAAGACGGAAAGTAAATTGCATTCTAGAACATTTAGTCCCCTAAGAATAATAATAATGAACAATAAATAACATAACTCTCATCTGTAATAACTGTCTAATGTAAAATGACAAGAAATAATATAAAGGATAAACATACTTATAATAAAAAAGGATAAAAATAATATAAAAAACCTTAGAAATAATATAAAGGATAAATGTCCTTTTTTCTTATTTTTTCTGTTGGCATTACAGACCATGAAGATCTTTTACCGCTCTAACAAGCCTGCTTCGGCTATATATATATATATATATATATGAGCTTTTTGGCCTATCATGTGGTCTTTCGCCTTCTATTGAGGAATTCATTGTTACGTAGATGGAATGAAAATATATCTTATTAGATGCTTCGAGATGAATCGCTACGAGCTATATGCCCCGCCCATCTTAACCTCCGTGCCTTCATGTCATGGGATATTGATGGACCAGTTTATGTATGCAGTTTTTTATTGGTCTTTCTTCTCCATGTGTTAGTACTCTGATCCCAGATCGCTCCGGTTATCGTGCGGAGGATTTTCCTCTCAAATCTTTCAACACTTTTTTCTAGGGTGCTGGTTAGTGTCCAGGTCTCACAGCCATATATTAGAACTGGCTTTATCATAGCATTGTACACCCTTAATTTGAGATTTTTCGGGATAACAATACCTTTGAAAGGAAGAAGAAAGCTCTGTTTGCGCTAGTTATACGCTGGTCTATTTTTGCTCGTTGGTCATTCATTGAAGTTATTGTGAAGCCGAGGTAGTTGAATTTTTCGGGAATGATTTTCCTTCCAGTAATCTGATAAAGTTAAGCATAAGTAATCTAATAAAATTATAGATAAATAAACACTAGTATGTTTACATACATATTTAAATAATTTATATATTTATTTTTTATGATTGAAAACTTTCTACAAATCTTGCACCAAGCTGTTTGACAGTAACAAGTTAAGTATACTATTTTTTCTCTTTAATTCTATTGAAAATAGCAAATATCGCAGGACTCATTTGGAGCCTGAATTATATTTTTAAGACTTTTTAAATTGCGATTTTAATCGATGCGAGGAATATTCTTCTAATCATTTCTTTTTTATTAGTTGTAGATAGCCCTGTCATATATTCTCATATTATTGTTTAACGAGACACAATTCTTCAAACAGTATGTAAATATTTGAAAATGTATTTTAATTACCTTTCCGATACTATCTGCCTTAGAAAATCTCATTTCCTGTTTTTGCTGGGTTTCCGGGTGCACGATTGTGTAACATACAGTGTTCATTTTTTAGCTACTAAATAAGTAGTTGTTTTTATCATTGTTTTTCCTTTATTGCAGTCATATGATTGAATTTGTTGATTATGATGGATTAGTAATATTTGATTTAGCAACTGAGCAAAGCTTTTTATCATCTAAACAATATATAAAATGGTATCAATTCGCGATGTTTTATTTTTTATATAATTTACAAAAGGAAGAAAGGAAATTAAAAAGGATTTAAAGTAAACAAAAGATAGAAAGAAATATTGGGTTGGCAAATAAGTCCTTTCGGTTTTTCCGGTTGAAATAAAACTTATTGTATTATAGACATAAAATTTATTTTAATCTACAATATCTTAACAATTAATATGACTTTTTCCCATCTTTCCAGTAACTACTTAATGCCATGTTATTAGAATGCCTGGAGTTTATTGTTGAAAAATTGATACAAGCCATTTTTGATGTCCTCTTCCTTTTGGTATTTCTATCCATTCATGGCATTCTGCAGAGACCGGAATAAGAGGTAGTCACTTGGAACTAGGTCTGGCGAATAGGGAGGGTGGGGCAAAAGGTCCCATCCAAGGGTCAATACTGGATTGCGAGTGAATGTTTTTTAACATGTATTTTAGCATTTTTAAAGATTATGTGCACCACTGAAGTGTCTTGGCAGGCTAAAGAGTGTCGAAAATTGACTTACAATTAGTGTTAGAGAAATGGTTTTGACCTGTCTCAATGTTTTTCTCCCACCGCTACCATTTTGACATTATAATTTAGGAAAGAAGTTTTTAAATGTTCAATAGCAATACATGATTAAGAAATTCAGTTATTCGGTTAATTTTAAAATTCTACTCAACTTTTCCAGGTTAGCTTAAATGAAACGTTTAAATGGATTTTCATCTATAAAATGGGATCTCAGTGACTTCTACTGCTCATTCTATTCCTTTATTTTTATTAATAATTAAATAAATCTAAAACTACAACTAATAAAAATACATAGCAAACTTATTTGTATAATGCCTCAAGCATGAAGTAATTACAATATACATGAGATAATTAAGACACCAAAGAATTAAAATTCATATTATGTTACTTTTTATCTATCATAAATATTGTTTAGGATGTTGTGAACAAATCTTTAAAATTAACTTTGTAAGATCTTTAAAAAAGTTCTTCTTAAATATGTTAATTTTTTTTATTCATTACCTATCTGTTTATGAGTATTGCTTTAACTTGCTCCTTTCTGATTTTTTAAAGTTTATATTAAACTTTTCTTTAAAATGCAACGAACATCCAAATTTCCTATTTAGCATATCAAGCGTGACCTTGGCTTGGATTATAGGTGGCATTTCCTGTCTTTATTGACTTAATTAAATATAATAGAATATAGCCACTAGTGTTACCTAAATGCGAGATCAAGACGAGTCTTTTAAAGAAAAGGTATGTTAGTAATGTCCAATAGCAGTCGTATGAGGGTTTTCTTCAGCCCAAGTATGGGTAATTACGAAAATTAAGAATCCCGTTTCTTGTAAAGCAAGAATCCTCAGTAACTAAAATGCAGTTCAGGAACTTAGTATCTTGTGTGCACGGGCGGATCTACGGGGGAAGGGGGGCTTTCGGGCTGAAGCCCCCCCAAAATGGAAAAATATAACCATGTTTTATGGGGAAAAAAATTTAAAAAATTCCTCTTAAAGTATTATTGTTTGTGTAATTACATTTAAAAGTACTTAAGGAATAACTTAAACACCATTTCATATAGGTAGTTATTTTCTTTCTGTTTTTCCAAAGTAATTATCGTTATTTTTATGAAAAAAAAAGGTTTCGGGCTGAAGCCCCCCCCCAAAATTAAATCCTGGATCCGCTAGTGCTTGTGTGCATTGTCGAATTAACCACTGGGAGAAATTTCTGCGCTTGTTATAATCTTGTGGTTACAAATCTTGCCTACTCGATACGTGAAATGGATACAATTTTATTCGCATTAAATTCACAATACACTAGTAGAGGAAACATGGAAACGACGTGACAATCTTCTGGTGTTAGTAGTAGAAGATAACTGAACAGCATCGATTATTTCTTCTTCAACGTTTGCAGTTCGTCGAAATATTTGTCGAACGTCATTTTTAACGTGTCATTAACCCTAAGGCGTCTTTCAATGGTCTCGAACGTTTTACGATTTATTATTATTCTGTTAGGAAATTTTTCACGATATCTTCGAACAGCAGCAGCACCGTTTCTATGTATCTCGCCATAAGTTAAAAGCATGTCTGTTTATTCCGCAAAAGTGAATAAATGTATGGTGTCTCCCATGATAATCATAAATTGAACTGTGTCACAGTATTCACTCACACTAAAACACACAGAACCAGTTTACCGCGCGCTCTGTGACAAAACCTCGTACTCAAACCTCGTACATCCTCGTACGCTTGCTCATTCATAACTTGCACTGTTATAATGCCAGTGTTATTGTTTTTTTTATAGTAAAATTAGATCAGAAGTCATCGCGGCTTTGCTGAAGAGGTCTTTGAGCGTGACCCACTTGTACCCTTTCCACGTGAACGTATCCACCTGCAAGTCGCTGAGCGGTGCCTCCACTGTGGGTGTCTCCTCCTGCATTGTTCTGGGGGGGGGGTGTCTATCGTATTTCGTACTTAGGCAAATCTCACACGCCCCTATGATTTCCTCTATTGTTATCCTCATACCCCACCAAAAATATCTACGACGTAACGCCTGGAATGTCTCTTGCACTCCGCGGTGGTTCGTTTTGCCCTGATGGTAGGCAAGAGTCACTTCTTTCTGTCGTTCCTCGTCCCTCACCGTTTCCACCATCAGCTTACACCGGATGAATGTCCTATCTATCCCTATCCCCAATCGTTCATCGCGCCATAGCCTTTTTATCTTCTCCCAAATCGTTTCATTCCCCACATATAAGTGGTGAATTTTTCTTGCTTTCGACGCGTCTTTTAAAGCTCTGCAGATCTGGTCCCCGCTGGCCCCTGGTTGTGACCAAATGGTTGTTATTCGGCTGTTTCCATATTTGCTGTATAGAATCTTCATCAGACCCGACGTCCTGGTCTTCCAGATAATCTGGCGGTTCTTATCGTTGACGATTTCCTCCCGTTCTTCCATATCCGCTGATCTCTCTTCTTCTGGACTTTCCTCTCCTGGGGACTCATTCCCAATCTGACCTCCATCTCCCTCTGGCGTCCACTCACTCAGGAACTGTCTCACATCCCTGGACGATTCTCCCGTGTCTTCCTCTATAGCATTTATGGTGATCGCCCTTGACAACCAATCTGCCACCACGTTCTCCTTCCCAGGTTTGTAAACGATGTCCAAATTGTATTGAGTCAGGAATTCCTTCCAACGTGTAACTCTAGCCGAGGACTCCTTCAACTTGCCTGCCCATTGTAGAGGTCTATGATCCGTGTGCACACGGAACTTCCTCCCAAACACGTAGGGTCTAAAATGGTCGATCGCCCACACAATCCCCAACAATTCTCTTTCCAGCGCGCTATATCTAGTTTCTGCGTCCGTAAGCCGCCTGCTGGCATACGCTACGGGGCGCTCCCCCCCCCCATTCCCTTCTTGTGACAACACCGCCCCCAACGCGTATTCACTAGCGTCTGTCGTTATGGTGAATACTTTCGAAAAATCCGGAAATGCCAACACTGGTTCCTCTTGCAGTTTCGCCATGCATCTCCTAATATTATCCTCCATCATAGGGGTCATTATTACCTTTCTGCCTTTCTTTAATAAGTTGTTAAGGGGCACGAGGTATTCCGCCATTTCGGGCACGAATCTTCTATAATAGTTGAGGGTACCCAACAGCCTGCGAATCCCTTTAACGTCCCGAGGGATCTCCATTTTCCGAATTGCCTCTACCTTCTGCGCGTCTGGTTTGACTCCCTCGCTTGAAATCGTGTGGCCTAAAAATTGATGCGGTCTTGTCCCAGCACCGAATTCTCGTTTCACAATTTCAACCCAAATTGCCTCACTCTCTCGAACACACTCCGTAGGTGCTCCACATGCTCTGCCTCGGTTTTGCTAAACACCAACAAATCATCCATGTAAATCTGACAGACTCCCTCATCAATTCCTCTGAGAAACTCGTCCATCAACCGCTGGAATGTTATAGGGGCATTATTGAGCCCAAACGGCATCCTAGTAAATTCGTAGTGCCCTCTCTCGAATGTAAATGCCGTCTTTGGCTGGTCTTTCGGGAGCATTCGAATTTGATGGTATCCTGCCTTTAAGTCTAAGGTGCTAAACACCGTTGCCCCGCTTAGCCTATCCAAAATGTCTTCAAACTTCGGGATTGGATATTTCTCGTCTACCGTATTTTCATTCAATTTGCGGTAATCGATCACGACTCGGTATTTCTCCTTACTCTCTCCCGGTGCGCTTTTCTTCTTCACTGCCCACAGCGGACTGTTGTACGGCGACGTGCTATCCACGATTATGCCCTGGTTCTTTAAGCTCTGCAACTCTTCCCTAATGTGTTGACGAAGCGCCTGCGGATATCTCCTCTCTTTCACGTAAACTACCCTCTCGTGCTTTAAAGGGATCTCGTGCACCGTTTTACCTGTTACCCCCAATTTATCCCCCTCCTTAAAGAAAACGTCTTCGAACTCCCTTCTCACTGTAACTCTCCAATCCTCGGCTCGACTTATAGCTCCTATGCGTGCCCTATCGACCTCATACTTTATTGCTGCCCTGCTCGTATAGTTCACATTCCCTATTTTTATTCTCCACTCCTTTCTTCTATTCGAGATTCGCACGCCCATCTTTCCCAGCATGTCACAACCTATAATTGCCTGATATTCCCGGGGCATTTCTCCCACCACATGCACCGTAAGTTTACCTCCCTTGGCCGCCCATCCCCTCAATCCTATCTCCACTTCGCCTTCCACTCCACACGGGCCACCCAGGGTGATTAAATTACAACTACATACCTTGATTTGGAGTGTCCTCTCTCCCCCGTACAGCTTCTCCAACACTCCACGCGTCATAATGGTATTGGAGCTCCCGGTGTCTACCAGGCACCTCACTCCTCTCGCCTCTATTATTGGTAACCAGCAGCTTTTCCCTCGAATGCTATAATTTACTAGCGTGCGGTCACCTCTCGCCTGACACTCTCCTCAGATCCTCTCTACTGCTGGCCGCCGTCCGCTTCTTCCACTGCCTCTCCTCCCTTCTCCGCTCCTCTCGTTTTCCCGGCTCACTGGGTCCTCCGGTTCTTCCTCGGTCTCGGTGGTTGCAGATTCTTCTGAAGCCTCCGTCGATGAATCACGTCTCCTGGACTGCACCCTTCTCCTCCTCAGACCTTGCGCATTCACTTCCATCGGCTCTGCTCGTTGTGGGTCTCTGTCCCTTCTTGAATAAATATACGGACACTGCCTCGCAATGTGTCCTTCCGTCCCGCACTCGAAGCATTTCGTGCGGGGACACTGTGCCACCAAGTGTCCGCTCTTCCCACAGCCGTGACATTTTCTGTCTTCTTTCCGTTGGCTCGCCCTCGCTCTATTCTGCCCTGGTCTTCGCTCCGCTCCCATGTGCTTCTCTCTTCCGTTGTATGCGGACTCTCTCCTCTCCAGGTCACCGGTGTACTCCTAGGCCTCCTATAGCTGATCCGATTCCAGCCTGGTTCCTCCACCTCTAGCCGGCTTTCTTCCTCTCGGGCGCTGGAGTCTACCATCTCTTGAGCGCACTCAATAAATGTTCTTTCCCGGGGTAAGCCGTTCTTTTTCCCGGTTTCCTTCGCCAGTTGGACCTTTAATATTGTGGACAAAAAGGCCATTTTTGCCTCTACCTCCGGAGCGCCTGCTGTTTCCCGCATTTTTTCCGTAATACGATTATAATGCGCTAGGAGTGTCGCCGCATACTGCCCATTAGACTGTCGTGAAGACCTCACCTCGCGGAACATCTGGAAGATGTCCTCCTCGGTCGTCCATCTGCCGCCTCCATAGGCTTTCTTCAGTCGTTGCTTGACCGTCTCCCACGGCGTCTCTTCATCGGCCTGAATCTGGTGCTGCCTTAAGGGCCTCCACGTCTTCGACATTGACGAGATTCTCGTCTATCTTAGCATTAATCCTCGTCACGATCCGATCTCCCCCTTTTAGAAAGTGGTTCAGCTCACCTGTTTCTCCAGTGAAGCGCTCAAGATCGGATATAGCCTTCCTCAGGTCCTGTGAAGTAGCTACCCTGATCTTCATCCACTCAATTGCGTTCGCATGCGCTGCGGCTAAAGTTCCCTGTGGTAACGGAGGGATCTCCGGCACATTCATAGGAGCCGGCTGCCTCAGGTCGAATTCAGGCATCCTCGTAAAAGTTTTCACTTATTGAGAAAAAAAAACGTACCTCTATTACCGTCCCGGGTTTCGGCACCAGTTAAGCGTAGCGAGCTTGAAACACTTAAAAAAAAGTACTAGGGTTAAGAAATAACACGCATGAAGACGAAATCAAGACTGGTTTATTTCTCCTTCTAATCCTCTATAAATACATTCTGAGATTGTTTACATCACTGCATTTGGTATTAACGCTAATACTGTCCCGTTCCGTACCTTAACTTATATATATATATATAGGTTATGTATATATTAGTGCACTTTTTATTTTGTAGCGATTACTCCACCTGTGTACGCAGCAAAATTATAAAAATCATTGGAGAGAAACTCTGTAAAGTTCTATAAAAAATAAAAATTAAAAAACTATATATATATATATATATATATATATATATATATATATATATAGAGAGAGAGAGAGAGAGAGAGAGGGAGAGAGAGAGAAATGGAGTTTCTCTCCAATGATTTTTATAATTTTGCTGCATACACAGGTGGAGTAATCGCTACAAAATAAAAAGTGCTCAACTACTACTACATACATAACCTAGTTCCTATTTATTTGCTTCAATTTAAAAAAAAAAACGGTTAATTTTGACCAATAATTTATATTTTGTTCAAGTGTTGCTGTTAAGACATTGTGGAAATCTAGGTTCTGAAATATGATGTCCTTGATGCGTATGGCCTCAGCACGAAAGGTCTCGTATCCGTTAATGATTCTATTTTCTTACTGACACTTAATCCTACTCTTTCATCGGGATATTTTCTCTTTACTTTTGGCTCTTTTTTTATGAATAGCTCCGCAGGTCTAGAGAAAAAAGAAGAACAAATTTTTTTTTGAATTATCAAATCTGTAAATCGTACTTATGGTAGGAATATAGATAGAAAATACATATTAATTTACAATATAACCTGGTTTTACCTTAACAATGATGGTCATCAAAGCCTCAATTGTTTCACTCACATAATGAGTACATTATGGTCATCTAGAACTCCTGGATCATATCCGCAGACTGGGAGGAGGCGAACGCGGCGAAAATATCTCGCCCCCCCCGAATAGTATGAGGTAAAAAAAAATAAAAACTATAATTAATGAGCTACACGAATGAATAAAATTTGGGAACTAAAATCGATTAAGAAAAGTCGTCTAGCTGTCTAGGATAGGGCTTAGTAGTAAGTATATAACTATTTAATTGATATCTAAGTGTTACTTTAATTTAAATTGTCATTTATACTTCATATATATATATACTTGGATTTTTTGATTAAAATAATAGCTAATTATATATGATTATAAATTGCTCTGACTGAAGTGTTGAAGATAAGAGAGTAAAGTAATATACATATATTGCAAAAAGTCATTAAGTGACATTTTATAACGTTAAATAATTAAGAACTTTGAAGGAATTTCCCTTTGAGAAGTCAGAATATTGTGCCCTTGTTGTAACTAAATTGATATATAAAAGGATTTATTTAATTTTCATGCGCTTATACAGTTTTTCTAACGATAATTGAAGCCAAAATTCACAAGATCATATTTGAAAGTCAACCTTTATCAAAAATGCAGTTAGTAACCTTTTGCAATAAAATGACGAGATATTCTTGAAGATAATTCAAAGTTCAACCATGACGTTCATGTAAAATGAATAGATATAATGCTGGCCGTCATGCGAAGATTAAAACGAGAGACAACTTTTTAAATATTAATTATAGATATCTCGGAAAGTATGCACTTTATCAAAGGAATAAATGTTATCAATATTATTGCATATTTTAACTAGTTTAATTTTGTATAAGACGTCTTAATCGATAGAGCGCATAGTTTCTCTGATATAGACAGATAGATAGAAAATAACTTTATTCTGGGACATAGTTCCTCGAGAATAACAAAACAGAACAAAATTGAAAGATTACATCTGGCCAAAATAAAATCAATAGAAAAAAAGAAATAATGTAAAGGAAATGTTAGGTAAACATTCTATATACAAAACAAACGAAACTATATACAAAACAATTAACACTATGACAAGAAACTTAAAGCTATTCAAAAATAAAAATATATTAAATTCTTCATTAAAATAAGCTTTCTGTTTCTGTTGAGAAAACAGAAAGCTGAACTTGACAATATAAAGTGCCAGATTAATATTTAAATACATTATCATACATATTTAAATACAACATATTTAAATGTTGATTAATGTATAGATACATCATCATCATTTCTTACAGTGACAATAGGCAAGAATTTAGTGGTGTATAAAGATAATAGTTATAAACCATCAATAGATGCGTTTAGTGACATCAAGAGTAGGAACATAAGAAAATTAATATTTCTAGCAAAGAATAGCATTGATATTTGGCAATGAATGGCATGAAATAAATGTATGTTGTCAAATGGTTAGCAACTATCTGACTGTTTTTGGGATAGGAATTGGAATAGGAGGGTTTTGAATGTGGATATGGATTGGGTTTGCCGAATTTTGATAGGAAGGGAATTCCAGAAATTGACAGAGCGAGCAATAAGAAGAGTATAAGGAAAAAAATAACGAAAACGTGACGTACTTGATGCCTTTGGAAACTCGCTATTTTGAGGTAGCAGATAATATTATTATTAAAAAACACTTTATTCAGAAATATTACAATTTGTCACAGTTAAGGACACTTATAATAGAGTTCAGAGATTGCATTCATACCGTATATACAAAAATATAAATAAATAAAGTAATAACAAAAGAATAAGAAGAAAGAACAAAAGAGTAAAGAAAAAAAAATAATATATATACACATAAGTAAATAAAAATAGAAATAAAAGTAAAACAAACACCTTATATAAAACATACATTATTTACAATTTGCCAGGTGATCTCCGAACCAATCCTTTCCCCTCCACATGTGGAGGGGAAAGGGAGGCTTAGGAGATCCCTACGCTTCTCCCTCAGCCACTTCACTGGTATTTTAAACCAGCGGAGGATGAGTAAGAGCGCTACAGCCACAGACACTCATGACTTGAGTGGAGAATCTGGCCATTGCTAGAACTCCAAAATATCCATATTTACAAAAGGTCTCGTGGCCACTGCCGCTTTAACCTACGAAGGGGATTGTAGGGATGGGTGGTGCTTGATAGGGATTGTACAACGGGATTTGGGTGATGAGAAAGGTTCTGGTGAAATTTGGAAAATTTGGCTGGGATAAGATCAAGAATAAATGGGATATTAAGGTCATGATGTAGGGTTTTATTGGTTACATAGAAGGGAGCATTGACTATTGTACGGAGGACTTTAGACTGAAAGGATTGAATGCGTTTGATGTTAGAAAATTTGGCTGTTCCCCATAGTTCTAGTCCGTAAGTCCAGATGGGTTTCAGTATTGTCTTGTAGATCAGTAATTTGTTTTCACCAGAAAGTTTAGATTTTCTATTCAGTAGTCTATATAGCTGGCCATATCGTCTGTTAAGTTCCTGTCTTTTAAGTCGAGTATGTGGATTCCATGTTAGTCGTCTGTCTAAGAGAAAGCCAAGATACCGGACTGTATCTGAGAAAGGAAGCTGGATGGAGTTAAAATAAACTGGTGGGCAGGTATTACGCCGAAGGGTGAAGGTAATGTGTTTACATTTAGATTCGTTTACCTTAATGCGCCATTTCTTACACCAGTGTTCAATCAGGAAGAGGTGCCTTTGTAAGTTTGCGGACGCTGTTTCAGGATCTGAGTTGGAAGAAAGGATAGCAGTGTCATCAGCGAAAGTTGCCAGGAGGGTATCGGGATGGACAGGAATATCAGCGGTAAAGAGAATGTAAAGGATGGGGCCCAAGACGCTGCCTTGAGGAACGCCAGCCTCAATTGAGTAACAGTCGGAGAATTCGGTGCCACAGCGAACTCGGAAGGAGCGGTCGGAAATATAGGATCGGAGTACTAGGTATAAGGACTGTGGTAGATGGATTTTAAGCTTGAAGAGTAATCCGGCGTGCCATACCCGGTCAAAAGCTTGCGCTATGTCCAGAAATGCACCCGAGCAATACTGCTTGCTTTCTAGGGTTGAGGATATATGGTCAACAACTCGGAGTCCTTGCTGGACAGTGGAATGTTGGGAACGAAATCCGAATTGATGAGTAGGAAGGTTATAGGATTCAATTATAGGTAGGATTCGTTTCAGTAGGATCTTTTCAAAAATTTTTGAGAGGATTGGGAGTAGGCTAATTGGTCGATAGGATGCTGTATTGTTGGAAGGTTTGCCTGGTTTCAGGAAGAGGACGATGGTGGAATGTTTCCATAAAAGAGGGAAGTGGGTAGTTCTTAGGATGCAATTGTATATATATGTAAGAAATATGATGGCTTTAGATGGAAGTTGTCGAAGGATCTGTGGGGTTAGAAGGTCATATCCAGGAGATTTGCGAGGTGTGATTTTCCGTAAAAGGTATTTGACCTCAGAGGGATTAACAGCTTTAGGTAGTAAGGAGAGTGGGATAGGTATTGAGAGGGATTCTTCTACTTTTACTGTGTGGCTGGGATGGGATTCTGGATGAGGAGCGAAAGTATAGGAAAGGTGTTTGGCAAATTCCTCGGCTTTATCTTCATCAGATGCTGCCCAGGAGCCATCATCTCGTCGAAGAGGGTGGGAAATATGATGGGATTTGAGGATTTTTCTGGTGATATTCCAAAGGGAATTATCATGAGCAGAGAGTGTGGTGAGGTAGGAATTGAATGATTGGGATCTGAAGGTGGCTAATTCTTTTTTTAATTTTTTACAGTGATAATTGTAGGAGTGGCGGTCGGCTGGATGTCTGGTACGTTGCCATAATAATCTGGCACGGCGTTTTATGTGGATTAGGTCAAGGAGGTGTTGAGGTAAATTATGTTTCTTAAGGATTTTTGAGGAGTGATCAGGGGAGGAAGCAGTCCAGACTGCTTCTTGAATTTTGGTAGTGAAGGAATGTACTGCATTGTCCAGGTCTTCAGAGGTTTTCAGGGTTACTCTGAGGTCAATTTTATCGGAAAGGATTTGATGAAAGAGTTTCCAGTTAACTGGGCCTCTGATGAAGGACGGAGGAGAGGGTTTAGGAATAGGAGCTAGTGATACTTGGAGTATTAATGGGCTGTGGTCTGAGGAAAGCTCGTCAAGACGGGCAACAGCAGATAATAAAATTTTAAATAATAGAAATAATATATTGAGAATTTTCTTCAAATAATGAATCAATTCGGCTCTTAACTCTTGAACTATTAAGCTTAATTAAAAGTTCATTAGCATACAAATAAAAGTGTGTTCTATTTACAATAATGTGAACTTTACTTTAAAAGCATTCAACATTGTGATAGCATAGGCGTAGACTTCGGAGGGATAGAAATAGAGAGGGGACGAGAATATCGTTTCCTCTCTCCCCAATGCTTCGAAGAATAACAATAAAATCAAAATTAATAATAATTAATCTACATGAATAAATAAAATATGTGTAAGGTTACTTGAGCAATCTTTAAACACTTCAACTGTTACTTATCTTTAAATCAGATGTTAATGATTATTTATTAGAAAATACCTTCTTGTATTGTTATATTGAATTAGTGTTAGAATTAACTTGTGTTGTAATAACGTGTAATTAAATTCTTTTACTATAATTGAATAAATCACGTCTATAAAAGATCTTAGATATGTTAATTAAAATCACTTAAGAAAATATGTCAAATACAAAGTCGAATACATGGCTAAGATAAGGCTATAAAATATAAATTACCTAGAAGTAGGTACGCAAAGTAATACGGTGTAAATAAAATGACCGTTTTATCAAATTCAAGATTTCAAAGGACTGTAAATATTTTAATCCTATTTAATAATTACCAATACTTAATAATCCATTTGGAGCATTCCCTAAGCTTATTTAATCCATTCGATTTCTTAAAAAAAGCCCAAAAAAAAAAAAGAACATGACAGTGTACTACGAAATTTTCGTAATTTTAAGGCATTACTTAAAAAAAAAACAGCCGCTGAAGAAATCCTTGACCAGCGCACTGCGCGGCGTTGGTTGTAAAAATTTAGCAGATACGACATTGGAAAGTAAGAAATGCTCTCCGGGCGACCACTAATGGATATTGATGATGTTCTGCAGGAAGCTGTTGAGTTAAATCCGTCCACAACTGCTCGCGAACTTGTCAGGGAGTGTGTTGTGTCGAAAGATACTGTTAGTCGCCATCAAATCTCCATGAAGAAGGCCAAAAAGAGCAGTAGACTGGTACCTCACGAAATTACTCCTCAGCAATCAGCTAAGAGGTTGGGAATTTGTGAAAATGTATTGAAAAACTCCTGCCTTATCCACCGTATTGTCCAGACCTCGGACCGTCGGATTGATACTTATTTAGATCCATGTCCCATTTTCTTCAAGGGAAAATTTTTTATAATTTTGCGGAAGTTGAAATTGCACTCCAAGGGTTTTTTGACAGACATCCCAAAGAAAGGTATCAGCGTGGGATCGACCTATTGGATAGCAGATGGCTAGTGACGGTAGATAACAATGGCCAATACCTTGAGTATCAATTGTATATTATATCAAAGAAATAATAATACAAATATTTGGTTGAATAACGGTCATTTTTTTTTTTTTTTAGTGCCATTGGGTATTTACTTTCTTTAAGAAATGGACTCTACAGATAATATACGTAGGAGGTATGCTCACAGGTGATGGCATAGAGCAGCAGCATAGCAGGCAGCTTCGTGAGTGGTCAGCTTTCGCAAGACGTTCTCCTTGAGGTATGCCATGTTCTGCGGCTGTTCCTCCTCGACCACTTTGTAGAACATCTTGCCCGTCGGTGCCAGGCCGTACTCGGCCAGGGTTTTCTCGGAATGCAATATCGTTTTCGGCGGCCCTATAACTGATGATAAAACAGAGCTCATGTAATATAAAAATTACACTCTTCACCCAAGTTTCGCTCATTTCTCTAGCTTAAATAGAAATAAGCATTTTCAGATGTAGGAAAGTTAAAGTAAAAATCATAGATAGTATCACATCTTAATTTAAAACAATTAACTCACAAAAAATTCTAGCCGGACTCAAAATATTCAATGATATGAGTTGTTTATTTCTAAAGTAAACTCAAATAGATTTTTATGTATAATTGGTAATTGGTTGACTGTCGTGGATAATGAAGAGAAGAATAGTTGGGGTGCTCAGTCAAAAAAGGAAGGCAAAAAAAATTATAATATTTATTTTTTACATCTGCCGACGTTTCGACCTGAAGTTCAGGCCATCATCAGGGCTAAGAAAATAACCAGATAACAAGGTATGAGAAACTTAAGTAATGATGGTAAAAAAGATAATAACAAAAAAAGAGAAAATAAAATAGATTAGATCTAGATAAAATAGATCTAAATAAAAGAAAAATAAAATAGATAGATATAAAGTAAAATAAAATTGTTAGAATAATGACTAAGAACTAAGAGATAAATAATACAGACTGTTACATAGTGTGGAATGATGAAGTAGGCATAATCAAAAAGGGGGTGACAAAAGTGTTACATTGGGGATCTTAGAATAAAATGTAAAAACATAAAAAAGAAATATAAAGTTATATAAGAAATGAGAATAAAATAAATAGTAAAATGAAAACATTGAGAATGGAGTAGTTTGATAGAAAATTGAGATAATGTAAAGTCTATCAAGATGTACAGACAATGTATAATATAATAGAGAGTTAATAACAGAGAAAAGGAATGAAAGGAAGGAGGGAAGAAATTGAGAAAGCTGAAATAAGAAAGAAATAAAAGAAGTAGTACCTTTCTCCTAAAGTGTCAAAGTGAGAATGAAGTCGTTACAAAGAAGGTGGAGAGAGAAGGGATGTGGAGGTGGCGTCATCTGTAACGGTTATCGGACGAAGTTAGAACTAGAAGAATGCTAGAAGCCTAAATAGTTACGAGAGATATATTATACAGAAAAATTATGGAATATTGAACGAAAGTTAATAGAAAGTGAAAGTGAATATATATATATACATACATATATATATATATATATATATATATATATATATATATATATATATATATATATATATATATATATATATAAGGGAGTTGTCAGCAAAAAGGAAAGGAATATAACTATGGATGTTTTAATAAATTCAGAATTTGGCTATAGGTTAGAGGAAAGTTATTTTTGTCAGATTTAAGATTCACTATCTTTGGTTGAAGCTGGATGTGGAGGGTTTCAGAAATGAGTCGTTTGTCATGGTTGAGAACAGTGGCAAGGATGGATGTTTTGTCGAAATCAAATGAATGATTGAGGGAGAGAGAATGTTCGGATAATTTGGAAGCGGTGAAATTACGAGAGGATACAGAATATTTATGTTGGGTTATGCGGTCTTTTAGGAGATTTTTGGTTTCACCAATATAGGATGAAAAACAATTGGGGGTAGAACATGGAATACGGTAAACGATATGAGAGCGGTGAGAGAAAGGAAGAGGATCTTTTAGGGATGTGTATAATTTCGAGAGAGTGTTGTGAGATTTGAATGCAAGTCGTAAGTTAGGGTTAGTGGATCGTAAAACTTTGTTGATGTAGTCTGAAAGGTTAGGAATATAAGGTAGAGATCTGTATATAGGGGCTGAAATGGGTTGTGGAGAATTAGAGAAAGTTGAGATTAAGGAAGAGCGATTATTGTGGTCCGTTATAAGTTTGTTAATGACATGGAGAGGAAAATTATTGTTTGACAGGATCTGTTTCATGCGTTTGGTATTGGTAACATGAATCAGATTTTATGTAATTTGATTCATAAAATCTGATAACTTCAGATTTTTATGTAATTTGAGATAAGTAACAATTTCCATATAAAAAGACTCAATAAATCATATGAGTCTTTCAGTCTATATTTTCAGAAAATGTTGAAATTTTTAATCAAATTTTATCCCACCATCAAAAACCTTGCTATAATTGTTGATCAAACCCTTTCCTAGAAAAACCATGTATCCAATATCTCCCGACGTACCTTTTCCACCCTAAAACAATTAAACAGCCTCCGACACCTTTTTCCTTTTCAAATCCGTAGACTCCTGGTCACCTCCCTAATATTTCCTCACTTCGACTATTGCTGTACGGTATATGGGGGCGTCTCTGGGGATCTCGAGGCAAAACTGAAACGTTTGATAAATTGCTTTGTACAATTCATCTTCGGGATCCCAAGGGACTCCCCTGTTACCTGTTTCTATGAAGAGCTGAAGTGGCTTTATCCTTCCTACCGCCTTAAGTATTTCCTGGCATCCTTCCTCTTCCAAGTCATTCACTCCCGCCGTCCTTCATATAACTCCGAGCTACTTCAATTTAAATTCTCTGTTCACTCCCGCAATATCCATTCCCGGTCTTCAGGTCTTTATATAATGACCCACCCATCAGCTGTTTTCGATAAATCTTTTATTATTCGATCCTCAACCCTATGGAACTCCATCCCTCCTGACATCCGTCGCTCCAATACTCTCCCTATTTTTAAATCTCGCCTATTCAATCACTTTCTTTCCATCCAGTGCTTCTAAAATTGTAAATAGGAACTTCTGTAAATATGTATATATATTATTAGTTTATTTCCAATTATTTTCATCTCATTGTCCTTGTGTTTATTTATTTTTTTGTTAATCGATTTAATCTAGAAGATAACCTTTTTTTTCTCTATCATATCTATTATTTAACATTGTTAATACATGTATATATATATATATCTGAGGCTTAAAAGCCAACATTTCTGTCCTTATTAATTATTTTAAAGGGATTCATCCCAGAATAAATAAAACGATTATTAAAAAAATAATAATAATAAGGCTTAGCGAACCCGAAGGTTCGATGCCGACACCACAAATCGCTTGTTACACACCTCCCTCCACCGTTCGCCGTCCAAACCCAGTCCCTTCAGATCGGCTTTAATGCAATCTTCCCACCTTCGCTTCGGTCTACCCCTCGGACGCTTACCATTCGGCACAAAAAAATGTTAACCTTTTAGGAATTCTCTCGTTACTAAGCCCAACAACTTTACAAGCCCATTTCATTCGCCGCGATGAAATTACCTCAATTATATTACCCGGATACAGCTCACGCAATTCGGCGTTGTGTAACCGTCTGAACTCTCCGGTTAACTCATCCTTCTTCGGTTCGAATATTCTACGCAATACTTTATTTTCAAAAACCTTAAGACGCTGCTCATCCCTTAATGTAAGCGGCCAAGTTTCGCATCCATAAAGAACTGTAGGCAAGATAATTGTTTTATAGATTCTAATTTTTAAGTTTCGGGACAAGAGGCGCGAACTAAGTAGTTTTGTCACAGAAAAATAACAAGCATTCCCCGCCTTCAGTCTAACCTTAATCTCTTCTTCAATTTCGTTTTTTCTAGTTATCGTAGAACCTAGATATCTAAATTTATCTACCTGTTCAAACATATTACCATCTATATCGATATCACCAGTAGTATCGCCATTTTTGCAGCTAACCATATATTTTGTTTTATCCACGTTTATTTCGAGTCCTAGTTCTTTACCGGCTTTCATTAACGTTGTCGTATTTAGTTTTATAGTTTCAACGTCTTCGCTTAACAGTACCAGATCATCAGCATAGCCCAGCACGGATGTTGTCCCGCCCAGATCCAACCCTTTCTCGGTTCGCATTACCTCCCTAATGGCATGTTCTAATGCCAAATTGAACAGGACAGGAGAAAGAGAATCCCCCTGTTTTAAGCCCGAACGAACCTCAAATTTTTCGGACAAATTATTACCGATTCTAACTTTATTGAGTGTCTCCGTCAAGCACATCCTGACTAGATTTACTAGTTTTTTTTGGAATCCCCATTAAAAAAAAATAAAAATAATAATTTAAGTTAGTCATTCTGTCAACTGAAAGGCTCATATGATGGAATTATTATTTCTTTAAAATAATAATTAAATATTTAAAAAAGTGGCATGAAATAAGGTTTCCGAAACCGTCCTTTTTTTTCATGGAATGTAATGAAACTAGTATTTCTTGGGCAATGTTGAAAAAAAAAAACCATGAAAAGCTTATTTATTTAACTGATTTATTCAATTGAAAATTAAAAATAAATCTGATTTACTGCAGTGAATTGTTGTAAACCAAAAAGTTAATTTTTTATTTTAATTATTTTTATTTTAGGCTATTTAATTATTTTTCCTCAAATCGTACGTATTTTTCTTATTATATTCTTATTATATATATATAACATCATCATCATCAGCGGAACAGTATAACATCCTGAATCAAATAAAAAAAAGTCCTCTGAAATAGCTTTAATTTTGTTTTGTTTTTTAATGATTATCCGTTTTACATTGTAATAAACTCTGTCACAGAAGTAATAAAAAATAGATAAATATAAGCTATTATCGAATTTGATAGTTATATGATATTATATGAGAAATAAGGGTTAGTCATAGATAGAAACTGTTGAATCGAAAATAGCAGAAGTTGCCCGACTTATTTCAACTCTTCTCCATGTAAACGATTCACTTATGTAAACGGCTTTTCATATTGTTATTTATTCTTAGTTTAACTGTTCACATATTTTGCTTAATAATAATTTTCATAAAAGGTCTCGCTATGATTTGATGATCTGCTTTTATATATATATATATATATATATATATATTATATATATATATATATATATATATATATATATATATATATATATATATATATATATATAACTTACGACTGTTCGAACAAGAAGTAATAAAAAAAAGAAAGAAAGGTTCCGAAATGAAACACTTGGTTGCTCAAATATGACTGACTTTATTCTCTCAGTAATGCTATATATATAGCATTAAGGTTTTTTTACAGCTCCTTGATAGGATTAACTAATATATAAACTTACATCTAACCATAACTTATATATATATACATGCCTAAAAGCGTGGAAAGGGAGAACAGAAAAAAAAGACCTACAAAATTTTGTATTGTATTATCGGATTGTACGTAATGTGAAACATAAAATTGTTTGAATTTTTCGGTCGATTACAATGGTTAATTATTGGAAATAATAAACGAAAAAACCGTCAATAACTTACAAAGTGTCTTGGAATCCTGACTTATCTTGATAAATATTAAATAACTGTTTATATAATCTAATATCTAAGGTCTCTGGCCATAACTAGTTTAGTCAAAAAATGCTCATCACGAGTTTTTAAATTGAGATCCTCTTCCAATTCTTACAAAAACTGTGAAGGAATTTGTAAATTCATTGATCTTGTTTAGACTTCTAAAATTTTTAGAACTCAATTAACAGAATTTCTGAGGACCCTTTTTCTACTTAACTAGTGATGCCCGGAGACCGTAGATTTGTTTAATTAGCTAATCTGGGTGACACAGAAAGAAACATGAATAGATGGAGAAATAAAGAATCAAATATTTACTTAATTGAAATTTCCTTGGAACTCTCCTATATAATTTTACAAACTCTGCAACTTCATTAACCGGATCGTCTTTCTTAAAAAAGCCTTGTAGAATAGTTTTGTCCGGAAAGTGAATTCGAATTACAGTAAATATATTTTCTGTTGGTGACTTTTTCTGATTTGGGTCTTCCGTCCATAACAATCTTTCTCGTAATTCTTTCCTATTTAAGTAATCGTTCAATTAGATTACTTAAAATCAGACTGTTTTAAATTGAACTTGACTTTAAATTTATATAAATATTTAAATGGCTACCTTTTTTCTATAATCAGTTTGAACATAGTTTGGACATCTTTTATATGCATGCTGTAGAATTGATCTCGGCGTGTTTTTTGCCTAGCTGACAGTTTTTTGTAGGGAAGCCTGCAAGCCACTGCATTTCGGTCGCCAAGCTGTTAACATTATTATTCATTAATGCATGTATATTATTCACATATATAAAAACCGCATCGATAAAAATTGCACTAATAATACCTTTCCTGCTAATAATAAGATCATCAGCTGACGAGGTTCTTGGTCATTAGCAAAAACCAGGAAGAACAGAGTGGTTTGATGAGGTCTGCATCAGATTAATGCAAGAAAGAAATGGAACCAGGATTGACTATATGAAGAAGAAGACAAGACGGACCTTCATGAAGGAAGAGAAAGGCGATCTTCTGGCTGGGAGAGGGAATGTTATCAATAGGTGGAAGAGACACTTCCAGGGACTACTGAACAAGGAAGAAGAACTTAACGAGGACATAATACAGCAGAACCTCGACCTGGATCGGACGTTAGAAAACGAAGATGGAAACGATGTGGAAACACCACTTGAGAAGGAGAGGGTTTGAAAGGTCTGCCGGAGCGTTGGCGGAGTTGGAACGAGAGGCAAATAGAAGAAGTATCAAGATCAATGAGGAGAAGACGGAATATATGAAGAGTACCCATAAACCCCCACAGATGCCACCACATACAATTAATACTAACGGTCATAAATTTTCACTATATAGGGCTTTTAAATGTCTTAGAACATTAATCACCGAAAAGAATGAACTGCGCGTGTGTGAACTTTTTTCAGTACAAAAAGTTTTAAAGTTCAAAGATCTTTCTTGGAGCGCCAAGGTCATGGTTTACAAGACAATTATTTACCCAAAAGTCACCTATGGCAGTGAGAAAGGGTACTGCCAAAGGAGATGGAGAAACGCCTATCCACCTAAGAAAGAAAGATACTAAGAAAATTATATGGTCCCAGTCTACTCTGATGGAGAGTGGGGAATTAGAAAAAAACGAAGATTTGAGAGCATCGTATGATCAGCCTGACAAAGTAAGTGCAATAAAAAAAGCAAGGCTGAGGTGGCTCGGGCATGTATGGCCTATGAAGGAGGATAGTCTTCCAAGGAAGCTACTTTTTGAGAAGCCGGGTGGTAGCCGAAAGCGTGGACGCCCCAGAACGATATGGCTGGGCAGACCTGCGCCAACTTGGAGTTAGAGGATGGAGAGTGGTTGCTGCCGATAGACCAGCCTGGCGTGTAATCTGTGAGGTCCGTGCCCTTCAAGGGCAGTAGCGCCGAATATTATTATTATTATTATTATTAATATCTTTCCTGCACTGTTACTTTCGCTTATGAAACACATAGAGAAACGTGCATTCAATAGCTGTAATTTATTCGCATTTTTCAAGTTGGCTTGTTTAGGGTTCTTACAACAAATTTACCAAATGTGGTGAGCATATATCCACAATAATTTATTCTGAGTCACTAATTATAGGAGTGGTTTTCCGATTAGCCGGTAGCTCGCGATATAGCGGTCTTTGAAAACAATTTGCGCGAGGAGCTTTAGAAGCACATAAAAGAGACCGGATAACCGGTAACTTTGTGAGGTTACTGGTTAGTGTCGAGGTCTCAAAACATTATATAAAGCAGATCCTGCACGGGAAGTCGGAATGACATTCGGTCATGAGGCATGATTGGCATTCTGATTGATCGTTTAAGGTTAAGATTGATGTACTGATGGACGGGACTGCGGGAAGTGGAAATTGAGATTGAGATAAAATTGGTGGAAAGCCTAACTTAACTACTGGGCAGGTTATTTTACCTAGGCTTCATAGCCAAAATGCACATTTCTGATTTCATTTAAAATGAACAGTTTTTCATATTCATAATTTACTTTTTTAGAAACAATCTTAAAATTGATTTGATTGATAAAAATTGAACAATTTAAAAATTGTTTAAACACTAAAGTAGGCAACAAATTAAAAAAAAAAAAAGTGGAGAACTGTACATTTTACTTATATAAAAAATGAATCTTTAATTGATGTGTATTATATTTGTTAGTAATTTTTCTTCTTTTTTTTCACCATATTTATTATTTGCGCAATATTTTTTGTTAATTCTTTGAAGTAGTTGAGCTCATATTTTTTTTTGACAATCCGATTTCCGGGTACGAGGAGGTAATTATTGTAACTCCACTTTTCTTTTGTTGTCCGAGCTATAAAGGATAAGCCAAATAAGCTTTTTAAATAAAACCCCTCATTAATCGACTTATCATTAATCGATCTGATTGATATCAGTAAGGTCCACCATGATTGAAGTAATCCTTGTTAGTCTCATAAATGTTTTTCATAATTCATCGTGTTGAGTCCGCTTAAACAAAGCAAATTTTACCCAGATGTGGTTCAAGATGCGGAGGATAGAGGAAGAGGTTGTTCTAGAGGAACACCAAACCTATTCTTAACTGAGTAGGAAGGTCCAGATTCATTCCATGGACCCGTCATGAAGTTAATTTCAACCTGCCTAGGCCGGATTCGAACCAGCGTTGCTAGAATCGAGATCGCTGTTGGTTTTCTAGCAATAATGTTTAGATCTAATTTAATTATGCTGCACATAAAAAAACCAAAACACGTTTTTTATTTTATAGCAATGAAAAACTACCTGTGAAACACAAAAAAATCAGCCACCATTTCAATAATCCCTCTCTTAAGAGATTTTCGCCTTATTCGGTCGCCATGGTTGTTTTTATTGGTATGATGCGCCAGCTTTTTTTTTTAAATCTCACATATAAGTGAAAATCTTAACTACATGGATATGGATGAAAAAATAGGATTTGTTACCTTCCGATTATATCAATATTCAAGTATATTAACTCTAGTATTGGATATATATTATAGGAATTTCTGAAATCCGAAATTATATATTAATATACTTAACTTTTACATGTTAAGGTATATTTTACTAGCCCTCTACAGTCTAAAAATATACTTACATAATGAATTTCTCCAAACACAGATGAATTTCTTCTTGCGATTCCAGGATAAAATTTAATAACCGGCTGTTGTCCCTTGACATATGAGGTGTGAGTTGACACCCTGGTCGATATATGTGTGAATTAAATAGATGTAATAAAAATATATACACTTTTAGAAAATATAAAATAATAACTGAACTTGTGAATAAAGGCTCCATCATCTAAGTCTTTATTCAATTCAAGCTGCAATGACTCCATAGAGCCCAACAAACCTCCGGTTCTTTTTGAAAGAGTAGAATTTTCTATAACTAAAAACCTATAAAAAAAATCTTTTAATAAATAACAGATTATGCATATTGGTGATGTTACAGCAATAAATATGTTTATTATTTCAATAATAATTATTTACATAATAATAACATCCGTATTGTAATATTCTGTGATGTTTGAAAATTACTTTATGGAATTTTAAATATTTTTTATTACATTTACGAGCTAAGATAAACGATTACTTTATATTTAAATCGATATATTAAGTTGTCTTGGTAAATTAAGAATCTATCCAAAGTTGCTGGTTTATTTTTTTAATTAATTTTTTACTTATTTATTGCAATTTACAACTGCTTTAATTAAAAATACAACATATAGATGTGAATTGTTATAATGACATGGACAGAAGAGAAACTAGAGATTGTTAGAACTCTAGTAGTTGTTCTATATTAGAAGGTTCCAAAGACATCTTCTTTTAACGCCTAGGATGATTGTCAGGAATCGAAGTTAGAAACTATTTGATTTGAATGTGTCTAAAGTTTATTATGAAAGGATAGGTATCTGGATTGAATCGGTAGCAGATGAAACAATAAGGTCATTATGGATAATTTTATTAGTGATAAAGTAAGGAGCATTGAGAATTTTGAATCATGAGGATTGGATACGAGAGGAGTTTGATGGTTTAGTGTAGTCCTAAAGCTCAACTCCATAAGTCCAAGTAGGCCTTAATACAACCAAGCAAATGAGTGATTTATAGTTAATTGGAAGCTTAAAACATTGGTCTAGCAACATGTTGAAATATGTATGTACTCTAACACGGTGGCTGATCCAAGATACCGTCTGAAAATAAAAAATCTTGTCGAGTTTCCTTAGTAAGTCGGTAGGTGCGTATTTATTTTGGGAAACAATAAAATTTAAAACTGACAAAAAAAAAAACTATAACAAAAAAAAAAACAATAGCATTCGTCTGACTAAAAGAATATCATAGCTCCGTTTTTGCCATGAAGTTCATATGCAATTTAAAAAAACAAAAATTTTAAAGTTCTTCTAAGTAAAGGGGATATATATTTGATCAAACATATTTCTGAAATAGATCAAATTTACACTGCCAAACAAAATTAATTGGTCACCAACAAATTTGGGTATATTTTTTTAATAATGAAAACAACAAATATTTCTCTGGTGTAATAATGGAATTAATGAAAATCCTTTATCAATTGTATCCTCAAAATCGTTAATCAAACCTTGGGATTAAAAAGGTAAATTCAACGCGGATCAGAAGCATACTAAATTCAGAGCAAACAGTGAGAAGACGATGTAACCAGTATGAATTGACGTCCCGTTCTGTAGTAACAGGACCTCAGCTTTTCTGGAAGCATCGAGTTCAGCGCTTGAGGTTTGCCCAGAGACACCTAAACTGCAAGACTGAAGCCGTTTATTATTCACCGAGGAGTCCTATTATTCACCATATTGTTAAGGTCTTCAGATGGACGCGAAAGAGTGTGAAGGAGGCAGAGAGAGAGAGGTACGCTCCTTGTAATTTTTCTCCAAAAGCTGCTTTCGGAGAAGGTCCAGTTGTGTTTTAATGCAAGACAGTGCCAGACCTCATGTTGATCGGCAGGTTCAAAATTCCGTCCAACAAGAAGAGATCTAGATTATGGCTTGGCCACCCATAATTTCGGCTATGAAGTCAATAGAGCAAGTATGGGACATACCGCAATCGAGACCCACAAAATTTGTGTGAATGAAGAAGCATTTTATTCGAAGATTTGAACATCATCCCGGAAGGAGAAACTTGCTCGGTGGAATTAATGGGGGTATGCTGGGAGTGATCAGGAATAGGAAGGACGCACATAAAAATATATATTATTAAATAAAATCAGCAGAAACATTTTATTCGATAATCAGCATTTTCCTTTTATTTTTATATTTAAATATAAATTATAAAAAAGTGCATTTTTGCATTTTTCTTTGTTTATTTGCCCTTTTAATAGATTATTCTATTATAATAAAAAAAATAACCATTTTAAAAATGTCCGTCCATTAAAATTCAGTAAAATTAAAATAGTGAAGTGATCCTTTAATTTTTTTTGGCAGTGTATATTTGCGAATATATATTTGAAGGTCCTAGAAATTGAAAGAGACTCGAGCTCACATCAACAGCTCCTGTTCTACAGTTCTAGGCGGAGCATGGAGGCTAACGCGTGTGTAAAATACGCGTTATTCGGCAACATAATAAACTGAATATTTCGAGTTCAAATCCTGGTACCGGGGGACTTTTAACTTTGGCATAATTCACCCACCCTTCCCCCTGGACCGGGAAAACCTGCGTATAGGTTGAAAGGCCAGGAAGAAAAGAGAAAAAGCTCTAGGCGGAATTAATGAGCCAAGGTTGACTAATTAGTTCCACTCAGATCCATTATGTTGTACATTTTGGAGCCGTTCCAAACGATTACGAGTACGTATTAGGTTCCACCAGTTCTGTACCATCTATAGTTAATTGTTATTATTAACAATTAGTAATATTAATATATTTAACTATCAACGACTACCTGAAGTATAGGAAACCAGAAGTGAAACCAAGGGACCTGGGGGTTACCCTCATCATATCTTCTCGTCCGATATATTCGACTCCTTGGCGTATTAAAATAGGAGTGGAGCAGGGTATTTTTAGGGTCACAGCGGCTATCAAGTTCTCAACTACTTTCCATAGGGTAACTGCGATAAAACAAACATCTTTCTTTCTATTTCTAAAACGATAAAAACCTTATGTAAACGATTTTTAAATATGTTAATACCATTTGGACGGAATTTCGCTGATACGTGAGAATCCTTCACTTTTAAAGTAATTGTTACACACTGATCAGGAGTCGGTCTGAAATCCTCGACCAATTTCAGGCGCTGGTCTTTCTGGAGATTCAACGTTTTCAGAGTGTATTCTTTAGGAAGGAAATAATTATCGTAGCTGCAAAATAAAACTGGACTGGTGCTACTATTTAATAATAGTATTATTTAAGATGAAGTTAAGTTTTACCTTAAGACGTATCTAGAAGGATTCAAACCATGTTTCTCACATATCGACACAAGTACCTTTAAATATAATTAATCAAGATGAACATTTCAGTAACTTTCAATTTTTTAAAATAATTTTTAAAGTAACTTATATTAAATTCCCTTGCTTAGGAGAGAAGGCATCTAGCGGTTCGGTGCCAATACGACAAAAAGCGATGGCTCTTTCCTCTTAATATGGCTCTTAATAATACTTTAGTATTACATTGTTGTTACATTCTATAAATTCTTACTTACAGATTTTCAAACAGACTATATGTGTGTAATTTTAACTGACAAACAACGGTAATTTCCTGGCATTAACAGTTCTTTCATCCCCTTTTAGATTTCTCGTCTTAGAGATACTGAATACTGTTACTACAAACGTAGGTATTCGGACATATATTCCTCACCAAAATTATCGCCTTGCATGTGTAATATATTTTGTTGCATCGGTAATATAATTGATAGCAATAGTAATATTTTTGTTTTATTCCGTATATAATTCTTTAAAAGCACCCATTTATGATTTTTAACATTATTTTCTCTCAAATTTCAATTTAATACCTTCCTTATCTTCACCTAACCAAACTAAAACTTGAGCTTAACCAAACACAGGTATGAAAACTCTGATTTAGAAACTTTCAGTACAAAATATACAATCCCTTGCTAAATTTAATAAAACAGCCAAACACAATTTTAACGCAAACGGCTAAACGCTGTTTAAACCGTCAAGAAAATTATGATACAACTTTTAGTAACACTAATTATGAAAATAATATTGGAACTGTTCACTTCCAACTATTGCGGGATCTAGATTTTATGTTACAAGGTTATCTTATGAGAACAAAGTAAGACTATTTATTATTACTAAAAATGACTGAGGTATTCATTCAACATAGCTGTTAACCTTTTCTTACTATCCTGATCATAAGACTTAGATAATCTTATCCAGTGATAGTGTCTGAGAAATAACTTCCCTGCCAGTGTTAGATATTCTCCACGCAGTGTTTATATTTTTTCTCAATGTAACCTTCTTATTTTTTATTTTGTACATTTTTTTTTTTTTTTTTTGTTCACTTCAAAGTCAAGTAATTTTCTTACTTCTTCGATGCTGTGATCACCAGTGGGTACAAATATGTCTTCAGATTCGTCTAACAGAATGATAGATATTGGTTCCATTATAAAATTACGTATAGCATAAAACACAAATATTCCATCAGATAACTTTAAAGAAATAGTAATAATTGAAGGTGTATAACCAAATAAAACTTAATTGCCATATGGTAACTTTCAACATCACGAATTACTTTCGAAATAATCATTTCAACCCTAATGGATGCTTTATTACAGTGATGCGATGCAAGTGATTTTTCGTTATTAGGAATGTTAGCTTGTTTTTGGTGAAAACCATAGTTATTTTGACTTTAAATCGTAATTTAGACAAATTTTAAAAAGTTAAATTACGAAATTTTTGGCAACATTGAAAACCAGAAAAGGTTCTAAAGGTTAGATTAATTACTTGTCATATGGTTTCTACGTATCCCTTTTGACTAGTGCCCGAAATGGGGTACTTTGGCATTGGTTAAATAGCAGATTGCAAAGTGGAAAAAACTCCGTATCCAGTACTGATTTATTTTTTTTACATAACTAATTGATATAGTTTAAGAGTTACACTTGTGTTTGATTCTGATTCAATATTTAAATACATTTGTATACATTATATTGTATATTTATATATATTTGTATTTTTACGTAACGATCCTTGAAATTGCCTATCAGACATTGTCTAATATCCTGCACAACCGGGTTTTTGCAAGAAAGATTGATAAAGGCGTGTACAAATGATTCTAAATGTAGAGTTATCATACAAAGAGAAGTATCTGAATCCATTAGAATTAGTACGGACTTTAAGCAAGGAGATGGACTATCGAAGATATAACATCACAGACAATGAGAAAGTAATAAGAATAACATCATGCAAAACTGGAGAGATGCACTTTATGAAACATAAATTTATAGGATACGTGCTTAATCACACTCCTCGGAAGCAATCAAGAGAGCTCGCTAACAAATTTTTATGAATTAAAGTTTTATATACACTGACTTCTGTTTCATTAATGTTTGTACATGGTGTGTAACTGCTGATTGAAGATTGGAATCATTTTAGTGAACACAGAATTTAAGGTTGTATTTTTTTTATTTTATCATTCATAATGTTTTATCCTGAATTTCTCAAGTATTTTGGTTTGTTACATCTTCAAAGGTGCGTTTGAACATTTCAAAAACTATGGGAAAAACAAATATCTAACCGGTTGTTTCTCTATGTTAGTGTTTTTGATTCTTGTTTTTAATGTTTTCAATCTCATCTGCTGCAGGTAACATGAGAAATACGAAAACAGTTTGGTTTAGTGCTAATCTCGTTGTTAGTTAAATTAGATAATGATGTTTCCGGCAGTTTGTGAAATGTTTAAACGCATCTTTAAGTTCAACTCCATGCCATAAATACAATCGATATATTGTTTTTGTTCTTCTATGAAGTTACTTTAACTCCCGCCTAAAGATGCGGTTATAATATGTTATCAGATAACCTACCCGTAAATAATAAACAACCATGGTTCTCTGTAAATATATTTTTATCTTATTTATTAAGGATTAGAAATTATTCGGATTATAATAATTTTTTTAATGCGTAAAAAATTTCAACGATTTATAGTAATGCCATTGTATTACATAAAATTAAATAAATGCCAAGATTTCTTGTGTTCTTAAAAATAATTATAAAAGTTTTTAATAACAATATATAAAAAAAATACATAAATGGAGGTCACAAATAATAGTGGAAGTATAAAAGCAATAGACAAAACTACAGTGCATAGGATCTGTTCTGGGCAGGTATTGTTTTAGAACCATTGTTTGTTTATTTTATTCATTTTTGCCTCTCATATTATGTGTTTGTACCCCAGGTTGTTCTCAATTTAGCTACTGCAGTAAAAGAGTTGATCGAAAATAGTCTTGATGCAGGAGCTACTGTCATTGATGTTAAATTGAAAGAGTATGGTAGTGAAATTATTGAAGTTGTGGATAATGGTGCTGGAGTTCATCCTTCTAATTTTGAGGGACTTAGTGGGTTTATTTATTTAATATATTCCATTTATTTTTTAAGTTTCAGTTGTTAATGATAATTTTGATACCTTAACAGAATGAGTTTTAAAAAACATGTTCTTATATTTATCGGCCAATGTTATTTAATGCAGTATTTATTTTTCCAGCGCTCAAACATCACACCTCTAAACTACGAGACTTCTCAGATTTGATTTCTGTTGAAACTTTTGGTTTCCGCGGAGAAGCACTAAGTTCATTGTGTGCTTTGAGTGAATTAAGTGTAGTGACAAGACATGAGAGCGAAAATTGTGGTACTGCACTGACCTTTGACAGAAATGGTCACATAATTGATCAAAAGCAACATGCAAGACAAGTAACTTTCTTTTATATAATATTTTGAATATCATTATGTAGATTAGATTTTTAAGTAGATTGATGATAACGAAGCAGCAGCTCGTTTTTTTCATATCTTTAGTTTTAAAATGATAGTATTTGTAGATTATCTCAGTTCAAAGCTGTATAAAACTCCATTGAATACCAAAACGTTACTATCCTTATCCTTTTAGATTTTTCCAAAGCATTTGATTCAGTTGACCATTACATCCCTAATCTTCCTCTATCTAACAGTGTCCTGGGATGGTTCAAATCCTTCCTTTCTGATCTAAAGGAATCCTTTCGAGTATGTAGTCTTCTCAGATCAACCTCCTTCACACACACACACACACTCTCCCTCTCCTGTGGTGTCTCTCAAGACTCCTTATCTTCTACTCTGTTTGCTTTTTACATTAATGACCTTCCCTTCCTGATCCATCACACACAATACATCTATGCCGACTATTTCCAAATATACCCGCCCTTCCTCCCTTCTGACATATTTGCCGCCTCAAAAAAGCTTCAAGAAGACTTAAATAGAATATGTGACTGAGCAGGAGCTAACAAGCTGAAGTCAAAGTGAAAAAGACCAAGGCCATCCTAATAGGCTCCAATCACCTCCTTAAAACTGTTCCTGACATTCCAACCCTGTATCTACATGATAACCCCATCAAATTGTGTCCCATCTTCAAAAACCTTGGAATAATCTTCTCCTGGAAAAACCATATATCCAATATCTCCCAACTTGTCTTTTCCACCTTAAAACATTTAAATGGTCTGTTACCTTTTTCCTTTTGAAACCTGCGGACTCCTGGTCACCTCCTTAATATTCCCTCATTTTGGCAATTGCTTCACAGTGTATTTGTATTCAAATTGCTTTGTACAATTCATCTTCAGGACCCCAAGGGGCGCCCCTGTTTCTTGTTTTTATGAAGAGTTGAAGTGAATTTATCCTTCCTAACGCTGTAAGTATTTCCTGGCATACTTCCTCTTCCAAGTCATTCACTCTCACCGTCCTTCATACATCTCTGAGCTCCTTCAATTTAAATCCTCTGTTCACTCCTTCAATACCCGTTCCCGGTCTTCAGATTTATTGATAATGACCCACTAAACCACTGCTTTCGATAAATCTTTTATTATTCGATCCTTATCCCTATGAAACTCCATCCCTCCTGATGTCCGTCATTTCGATACTCTCCCTACTTTTAAATCCCGCCTATTCAATCACTTCCTTTCCTTCCAGTCCGTATAAAATTGTAAATAGAAATATGTATATATAAAAAAACTACAACCCATTTAGGGTCGTGAGTGCAATACAATGTGAGGAAGTACTGTTTCAAGGCCAACGGTTGTGCAGGGAGGTGATGGGGTCTGCCCCATCACGCTCATCATATCGCGCTTAACCACCTGGGCTGGGTGTGCCCCAGGAGGGTTTCCCGACCCCAGGGTCGATCCACGGCTAATGAAAAATTACTAGTATTTAGCCGGATTCGAACCCAAGACCTTGAGCTCTGGAAGCCAGTGCTCACCTACTGAGCTACCCCACTCCCACATGTATATATATATATATATATATATATATATATTTTATTAATTTATTTTCATTTCATTGTTCTTTCATTTATTTATTTTTCTTCTTAATCGATTTAAGTTAGATGATAACTTTTTTTTCTATTATGCCTATTAGTTTACTTTATAAATACATACATACAAAAGGGATTCGTCCCAGAATAGATAAAAAGATTATTATTATTTAGCGAAAATTCAAATTCTCTCTTTGTTATTATTTTCTCAGATTCTTATTTATTATTTATTTAATATTTCAGTGGCAGTCATAATTATTTTGAAAGAATGCCGAATAGAATTTTTATTAATTGTTTGTATCCTGTTGACTATATTTCCTATTAGAAATTGGAGATGCTTTCAAATATTCCCTTTCCCTCCACACTCACGTTATTTACATTAGCGATAATGGTTTTATAGGATTAATAAATCACTGGTAATGTACACTATACATAATACAATAATATAGATTCCTTTTCTGGCTTTCAGAAGCTATTGATTTTGTTGAATCAGATGTCAAATGAAAAGAAATTTCATGGAGAAGTGAAAATTCCAACTTCAACTTTAATAAAAGTGATTAAAAAAATTAGGAAATTTCAAAACTAAGTTGGTTTCAAACTCAATGAATTAAGATGGGATAAACTGTATTTTAAATATTTCGATACGGCCATTAATGTCTGGTATAGTACCATGGAAACTATCGAACTATTAGACCCTGCATTTATTAGAGCCCAAAAATATCCTGTTTTCGAGATAAACTTTAATGCTTGCGAAATGTCTCTCAGGTGCTATTATTTCCATGGAATGCTTATCACATGTTTAGATTTTTTAAAATTAAAACATTGCTTTTTATGTTAGTCTTCGACAAACTAAAAATCTATTAAAAAGGTACATACATGGAGGAGCTCTATAATCTCTTGGACATTTTGGATAATATAGAAAGAAACTTTTTGTATATTTAATAAAAAAAAAAAATAATAATAATAATATCCAGGTATGGCTTTTATACTCTCAATAATAGACTTCTATACTCTTAGCGAGAGAACTACAAACCAAGACTCTAATGTACCAACCGAAAAATAACTTCAGCGAGTACGATAATGGATTAGCATAAATTCTTATTGCTAAACTATTAAACTAGAGGGTTATTTTCTAATGGAACAATGTAATCACTTATTAAGTAACTTGTTAGTTTAAATTCTGTGTGTTGAATAGATTATCTTGATAATGTTATGTTTATGTACAAACAAATATGTTTTGCTGTCACTTTCTATATATCTCTTATGTATTAAAAAGGAAGATAGCTGTATAATGTGGGCATTCTCATTGGTGTATAGTATGTAAATTTAAAAATAAAGAAGAAATATAATTGATGCTTTACAATTGCCTTACATAGATTTCCTATTTGTCTTATTCTATGACCATAATTTTTTCTAAATTTTAGGTTATTTTCTTTTGTTTGTATTCAACTAATAATTATCTGAAAATTCACCAACTCTTCTAGATCTGTGTCTTTTAAAAGCTTTAACTTTACATTTCTGTTTGGATGTGTATTCCTTTTTGGTTTTTAAAATTATAAAATATTTCAGTTAGTCTTATTAAAATGTATCTTGGTTTTAAATATATCATCTGTGGCATAATTTCTGAAATGAGCTAAAATATTTATTTTAAGATTGGCATAATCATAATTTATTTATCAAATTATTTCTTTAAGATTGGCACGACTGTCACTTTGACTAATCTGTTCAGTGCTTTACCAGTTCGACAAAAAGAATTCCATAAAAATTTAAAAAGAGAATTCAACAAAATGACTCAACTTTTATCAGCTTATTGCTTGGTGTCTACAGGTGTGAAGTAAGTCACTCATTATTTTGTTTAAGCTCTTTTTTGTTTTTCTTCAAAACTAACTTATAAAATATTTTTCTTTGTATATCATTAATCTAGGTTTCTTATAGTATTACTTATAAATTGGCTACGCTGATGCTTAATCCATTATTTTAGAATAAGCTGTGTGAATCAAACAAAAAGTTCTAGAACCACATTCCTCTCAACCCAAGGATGTAAAACAGTAAAAGAAAATATATCATGTCTTTTTGGAGCGAAACAGGTAATTCAAAGTTTATTGATAATTTTTAAGAGCTTTCTAAGACTTGTCTTAATAAACTCGTAGTTCTTAATTTACTCTCTTAGGTTCCTCATAGTACATTTTTTTTCTTTCAAAATTTGTCCTATTGTTGTTACTGCCAACTATTTCAATGGATCTTTAGCATTCTTAACTTATTGAACCATTTTGTAAAACTTCAGGTTTTTCTAGTTGTTAGTTCAGATATATTGGGAATGCTAAGATTTTTTATTAAATCTTCTAATGCAGATTCTAGGCAATCTAAGTTGACTTCTTTTTATGAGAATTTATAAATTCTGTTAAAGAATTTGTTTCTTATAGAGATTAACAGTTTAATTTTCAGCAGTTTTGGTCAAATTCTTGTCCAAATATTTAAAAAAATTTTTTTTTTTTCTGTATACTTTTTGTCTTTGATTTTTCTCATAAAATCAACTACAGAAATAGCTTTAATTCAATATGAAATTAGAAATGGTTTTAAAATTAGAGAAAATATCTGTTTTATACAAATGTAAGGATAGGTGATAACGTTCTTCTTTATTCAAAAAAGCTGAACTGATTGATTATGAAACTATTAAAACCGATTCATATTAACTTATTTATACATAACTATTTATACATACATACATACTCAGTGCTGCATACATACAGCCCAGTTCGGGCCCTGTCCTCCAAAAGAAATTGTTACCACTCCTCTCTATTTCTCTTGTGATTCTCCTGGGAGTACTATTATCTGCCATCCTTTGTACATGACCAGTCCAACAAAGCCTGCTGATCTCTATAAATTTCACCAGGACATCCATGTACTCTTCATATAGTTCTTGATTGTTTCTGGTTCTCGAGGCGCCATTTCCCCACATCATCATCATCATGTGTGGCACGACATCCCGTTACCGAGACTGGGCCTCCTCCAAGAGCCTCCACCAGTTGGCTCTGTCTTCTGCTCCAGCTCTCCAGTTCCGTACACCAAGCAGGGTTCTCGCATCATAGGCCACGTTGTCCAACCATCTCGTCCTCGGCCTTCCTACCCGTCTTACGAGATGCAGCTCCTCCATCATTATTTATTCTCCATTCATTATTTATTTATTTATTTAATACAAAGCATCATTATAAAAACAGAAGTGTAATAATTAATTGTATTTCTATATTTTTCAGTTATCAAGTTTATTAGAAATAAAACAGACGTTACCCAATGATGAAATTCTTGCTGAACTTCAGGTGTCTGAAGAAGATTTTTGTGATTTTACCCTCGAAGGATATATATCTTCATGTGCTCATGGTTCTGGCAGAGGATCGAATGATAGACAGTTTTATTTTATCAATTCTCGACCGTGTGAGCCTCAAAAAGTAACACAGTTATTATGTTAAAACATTTACAAATATATTTTTTAATTCAGCATTGTCAGATTCTCAAAATGCTCCATAACATTAATTTGAGATTTAGCTAAAAGCTGATTAATTTTTAAAATTATTTTTGCTTAGATAACGAAGCAGGTAAATGAAGTTTATCATCAGTTTAATAGTCATCAGTACCCATTTGTATTTCTTAATATAAATGTCACTAAGGGTTCAGTTGATATAAATGTAACGCCTGACAAGAGGAAGGTTTTTCTCACTGAAGAGAAACTTCTTCTGGCATTAATAAAGGTAAATATATTGCCAGTGGGCGGATTTTTGATTTAGGTTAGTTAGTTTCCGAATCGTGTCTGAAACTTAGGTTTAAGAAGTATCTATGATTGATTATTGTACACTAGACCTACTTTAGATCTTGTAAGTAAATTGCACTATCCTTTTATTAGAGTAAAAAGTAATGTACTTAAAAACTTTGGTACTTGTATAATAGCGGGTAGCGTCAAAACCTCCCTTCTTATCTAATCTCATTTCACATAACCTCCCTTATCTCATTTAACCTAAGTTATTCCCTTGTTTATTTTTTGTCCCTTGTGTAAGCTGTGAGTTAGTCTTATTTAATTATGGATGTTGTCACATTATGGAAATTGCCGTCTTCAGAAGAAGAGGCTATCACATATTTTCAAGACGCCAGGATATTTCCAAAGGTGAAATATTGTGATGAACGTCATCAAATGAAGTTATACGGGAAGATTAAATGGAGATGCTTTCGTTGTTGTAACAAAACCGTTTCTGTAAGGACTAAAATAAATTAAGTTAAAATAAAATTGTTCATATTTTGTTTATACCATTTCTTTTATATGTATAATATAGTCTTTTATGTATGTATAATAATTCTTTTATAATATAGTCTTCTTAGGGTTTATTTTATATGTACCTATGCTGTTTAACTGTTTTTTTTTAAAATTTCATTTATATATATATATATATATATATATATATATATATATATATATATATATGTTGCAATGTTTTCGTTATGTTTTTTAATTATATATCTATAATGTTTTGGTCTATTTAATATATGTCTTGTAAAATACAAGTATTTTTGTATTATATCAATACAATACAATGAATATGAATACGAAGATATAATAATGCAATAAATATAAATACCAAGATATCAGTGATTTATCTGAGTTATCAGTGTTAAGGTTATAAACATTGGCAGAAAGCAGTCCGACGCTACCCGCTATTAAATAAGTACCAAAACTTTTTATACGCTGTTATAAATTATTGAATAATAATAGCCGATCAGGCTGTTCGAACAAAGTTTTTATTTAATATATATACCATGTATACTATTCAACTAATCTGATTTTTTGTAAAACAGGCCCACACTTACTTAGTGCAGTTTACTTCTTATATCCAGAACTTTAAATAAACATAGTTACAACGTCTTTGGCAGTCCTTTCTCAATAAATACTGAGCTGCTCAATAAATAAAAGTATATTTTATGAATATACTTTTTTTATTTATTTTTTATGGCTTATAGATGTATTTTATATAATCCATCATTAGTTTGAAACTCAAAAAATCTTTTCAGGCATCAATTTTACATCTTTTTGAAAAAATTCCTTCTACCTTTTCTTACAACAATGTTTCTATTTGTCGTAATGAACCACCGAAAAATAGTGAGGGTAGTAGGCCAAACTTTAATAAATTTGATTTTTGGAGGCATAAAAGTGATGGAAAAAGGAAAAGCGATTGCCTTGAGGAAAAATTTCCCAAAAAACGTATGTATTCTTAATGATTTATTTCAGTCTTTACTAACTTATGTTTACTGTTCAAAGTTTTTTAATCTATTTTTTTTTATCAGAAAGTAAAATTGAAGTGAAAAATACAAGTCTGATTGAACGTTTCTGTGTGCCAGAGAAAAAGGAAAAATTAGATGACAGTGAAAATGTAATCAAAGAAAATGGTAGTACAGAGCAGTGTTATGGTTTTATTCAAAATAACCATATTGATGCAGAACATAATTCAGATATTTTGCAAAATAAGAATTTTGATATTACAGAAAATAATACGAACATTTTTCAAAATTCCAATAGTGAGCAAACTACCATTGAATTAACGATCAGTAAAAAAGATGAGCAGAGTCAGGAAATCTGTGATAAAATATCTGTTGATGAAAATCTGTCAATTGTGGAAGAGGTTAGTGAGGTAAAAGAAATTATTACTAGTTTGGAAGAAACGCTTCCTGGAAGATCAAAACTATCTGTAGAGGAGTCTGTTGAAAGTAAATCTATATCATATTCAAGTTCGGAGGATATTGAAGAACAAAAAAGAGTACAAAGTTCTGAAAATTCTGAAACAAGTGATGAGAAGACTACAGACAATTTAGTTCCTATTGAATTTGATGAGTTTGAGGAACGTGGAGTAAAAAGTATTTTTTCTTCTTTTGATTTTGATTCAATAAAAAAATCATTTTGTGAAAGATTAAATAAATCACATCACGAGGAAGCAGCTCCTACGGTGCGCTTTCGAGCTGTCATTGATCCCTCCAAAAATCAACAAGCTGAAAAAGAACTGAGTAAAGAGATTTCAAAAGAAATGTTTAAAAAGGTATGTAATGAGTTTTAACATAACATTGCCATCATTTTTGTACATTTTTTTTTTTCAAAGTTGAAATATTTTTGCTCTGAAATTATCTTTTGTTTATAACACTATACTCTGTAACTAAATTAACACTATTCGCCATAAAGGACGGAATGTACTTGAATCCCTGCCTAACGAAACTGATGGATTCTTGTTTTTTTTTTTATTCTTGTTTCAATATTTATACACCCTAATCTATTAAATCTGAAATTCTAATAAGGAATTTTATCTGAAGGATTAATGTTTCATGCACTACAAAATAAAGATTTATAATCTCATATATGATTTATTTATGTTTCCAAAGAAAGTTCATTTTATTATAAAATTTAACTGTAAATAATGGAAATATATTAATTTATAGATGGAAATAATTGGCCAATTCAATCTAGGATTTATTATTGCAAAACTTGATTCAGACTTGTTCATAATTGACCAACATGCCACTGATGAAAAATATAATTTTGAGACATTACAACAAACAACAGTTATATCAAATCAAAAACTTGTTTCGTAAGTAATTTATCACATTTATGAAATATTATTTAAAGTTTATAGATTTGCATTAAGTTGTATGTTTTCAGACCTCAACTTCTTGAACTAACAGCTGCAAATGAATTTGTTGTGATGGAGAATATGAATATTTTTAATAAAAATGGGTTTGAATTCCATGTTGATGAAACAGGTAAATACAAGACAATATTTTCACACTTATTATGTAAAGATAAGACTGCATGTCATAAATCATTTGGATATTTATCATTTGTTTCATTGTAGCTGTTCCAACTAAAAGAATCAGTCTTACTGCGATCCCTATGAGCAAGAACTGGGTTTTCGGTAAAGATGACATCGATGAATTGATATTTATGCTTCAGGTATGTCTATATGTTTACTATTATGTATTTATCTATTTACAATTTTTCATAAAAGTTTATACTGATTTATGTTTATTATAGTTACTTCTGTTTACTATATATTAAAAAAAAAAAAAATGGGTACTTGTTTATAACATAGCCAATAAGATCACAGTTCTTATGATCACTGCAGATGGAGTTCTGAAAGTTCCTGAGTGCAGCAGGCTTATGGAAATTATACGGAGGGTTGAGCTAATTAAAATAACTAATGACGGCATATCTTAATACGTATTAATAATTTAATGTTTTAATTGAATGTATGTCTCATTGCATTTCACATATTAGATGTTACTATGGGTTATTAAAATCATTACTGCTTTAATTAGATTATAACTAACAGGCCTCCACTCACTGGCTCACTTAAGAGCTTTAACAACCCCCCTTCCTCCCCCCTCCCTAATGGCTCCTTTTCTGTGTAAGTTATAAAATATCTGAAATGATCCATAATTTTTAATTCTTTGCTTTTTTAATATTGTTCTTTGTTGTTATTTTGCTCAATAATTACAAAAAAATACAAGATAAATAAGAGATTATAAAACTCGTTGTGAAAGGCAGTTTTGTCAATCTGAACATGTAGATTAAATGGCCTGTTCGGATTATCAAAGGTTAAATTTAAAATTACGGAAAAAATGTGCAAGCTAATGAAAATGCATGTATCATCACTTAAATATGAACACATTACAAACAAAATATTTCTTTTAGTCTCTGATTTTGTTGTTAAAGGAATCACCTGATCTCGCAAATTTTATCTATCGACATTGTATTTATTCGCCCACTACAGTCAAGTATTGCCTTTGTGCCATTTCTATGATTTATCTAAAATAAAAAACCTCTGCCAAGTAAGATCAGTATAGCTTCCTCACCGTTTTCATTGGCTAAAATATATTACAAGGAATACAATTTTTCGTATGAGAATAAAATCTCTGGGAGAAGCCGATTCGGAAATACAGTTACCATTCAACATTCGCGAATTTGATATACACGAATTTCGTTTATCAGCTAATATTAAAATGTGAAAGTGTGCCGTATTTGAAGATTCCAATTTGATTATTCTTAATTTAAAAAGAAATACCGATGCATACTGAACATGCATTTCACTACTGTTAGTGCAAAAGGTCGTATGTAAAAATTGATTGTTTTACAAGAGAACATAAAAACTCATTATTTCTTTATGGTTTATTAGTATAATTTCATATTTTATTGAAACCACTCGACGTTTCCGACTACTCCAACACTTACTAGACAAACGCTCTTAAGCTTCCAGTTAATTAAAAAAGACTTATATACATGACTACAATAAGACCTATTTGGACTTACGGAGTTGAGCTTTGGGGCTCCACTAAGCCATCGAATTCCCTTGTACCCAATCCGTACAATCCAAAATCCTTCGGAAAATCTTCAATGCTCCTTACTTTGTCACCAATAAAATAATCTATAATGACCTTAATGTTCCTTATGTTTCCGATTTGGCCCAATCCAGATACCAATCCTTCCATAATAAACTTCAGAACCATCCGAATCCTCTCGTCTCTAACCTTGCTTCCTCTTCTATTCCTGATAACCCTCCGAGGTGTCTAAAAAGAAGATGGCCTCGAGATCTCTTATTTTAAATACATTTTATTTTTAGAGTGCTACCAGTGGGTAGTTTCTCAACAAGTGATTTCATGTTATTATTTTCTGTTATCAAATTTACTAAATGTATTTTATTTATTAATACAGTTGTAAATATCATGAATAAATAAAAAAAAAAAAAAAAAAAATATTTTATTGTCATCTGCTATTTGGCAGTTGCAGACTACAAAATGTCACCTTTAGCACAAATAGAATAAATGTTTAAACTTAATGTCTGAATCGTAAGACACTATTGGAAATTTTCGATTCTGAGCACTAAATTTTTTTTCACCTCTCGCACCAATACAATGCTTCCCTACCTTTGGTAGGGATGAAGCAAAATAAAATGGGTGTAAAGAAATTTTCCAGTAAAATAAAAAACGTATTCCATAACTTCTTTTGAAATTATCAAACCCACCTTTACTGGCAGTAAAATCTGCTTTGTTATCCTTTTTATAAAAATCCCTGGAAATTGGATGCTCTCCTGATCTCTTCTTCAAAAACCATATATAAAGAGATTCCTCAATTTCTGAATGACCAGCTAATTTTAATGTTTCCAGTTTAGAGACTCCACAATACAATTTGGACGATACTACACAAAGCTATTCCAGTAATATATACTGAGAAACTCACATAAATAAACTTTAACTGTTTTTTATAACTTGGTCGGGTTATTAGGGTTTGGATTATCGAGACTGTCCTGTACCATACTGTCATAGGTATAAACCATAAAGATCGTGTTATTTCAATCAAATCATATTACTTAAACATTTGAAATTTAATACGGCATAAACATTACGGTTAAATTGGTTTAATAAAAATATTTGGAAATCGTACATCAATATTAACTTTCAGGTGGACTTGGCTACATTTGAAAATTTTTGGAGTTCCATCTGCAGTGTAATGATTTGAATTTTTGACCAGCTGCCATCTTGCTAACTATGTTCTACAACTAGTAACAAAAAATTATAATGGTACAAAGTGAATGAAATCAAAGATATGATAATTGGATACTTATATTTGGATAAAAAATCATGTATATTTGAACTGCAATAGAATTAAATGACGTATATAAGATTGAGATTGCACTCTTCAAATAATAAAAAAAAAGCTAACAACTAACCTTTCAATGTGCCATCATTTTTACTTTCACTTACCTACATATGAAACATATAGTAAGGTAAAGTATTAGAATCGTGAAAATGTTTGAATCCGAGTTTTTAATGAAAATACACATTTTAAGGCCCCCTGAGTAAAAAAAAAACAAAACAAGTCTCACAAAATGGTCTGTCGTGTATATATGTTAAATTTCATATTTAAGGTTTGTACGTACCTGGGATGTTACTGCAACTTTTTCATAAAAAATCAACTTATCGGAAGTGGCACTTTATATTTAACACAATTTTGCAATTTTTTTGAAAACAATTAACGATTTTAATTAAATTCGTCATATCAGCGTAGAATTGATTAGATTTTAATACAATGTAGCTTTTAGTCCTATTTATGATCTCTAACAGGGCTCAAGTGCCTAATTTTCAAAATTTCTTCCTCTAAAGTTCCTTTAATTTTTTTTATTTGAAATAATTAACAATTTCACATGGTAACCTGGTATAAAAAATGGTTAAATATGAAATATAAAAGAATTCACAATATTTCTCACTTCTTCTTCGGTGCATACTATTTATTTTCAAGTTTATTTATTATCAGCCAATTTTACACCAATTTTTAAAATTTTGTCAACTTAATGACATCACATCTAATTACGACGTTTCGGCTCGTTGAGCCATTTTCAATTCTAAAAAAATTTTTACAATTTACAATCATATTTAAAACATTACATATTTCAACATATAGAGATTCTTTTTATATACCTAAATACCAATCATGTACCTGCCCTTTTCACTTATGCGAATTGCATGCATCCACTCCTAAAAAAATGTTTTATTTTTGTCATTTCCACCTTTAATTATTTTATAACATTATTATTACTCAATTATTTCTTATTAAATGATTCAATTAAGTTAAAATTACCTTATCATGTGTCACCGACATGTCATAAAATATTTTATTAGGAGTGGACGCATGCAATTCGCATAAATGAAAAGGACAGGTACATGATTGGTATTTAGGTATATAAAAAGAATCCCTATATGTTGAAATATGTAATGTTTTAAATATAATTGTAAATTGTAAAATTTTTTTTAGAATTGAAAATGGCTCAACAAGCTGAAACGTCGTAATTAGATGTGATGTCATTAAGTTGACAAAATTTTAAAAATTGGTGTAAAATTGGCTGATAATAAATAAACTTGAAAATAAAAGAATTCATTAATTAACTAAAAGAGAAATAGGATCGTAACGGAGAATAGTAGTTATAGAGGAACTGAAGAAATACAAGCATGCACGCCCATGCTCGGTCGAAAATTTAGAATAGGCTTCCATACGTAACACGTGCTTAATATAATATGACTCCTACAACATATTTACATATACAAATGCGGTTTTTCATAAATATTAGTGTTGGTATTATTTAATATTTAATTGTATAGATTACTGCAATATAAAAATTAAAATTTGAATATATAGCGATATTTAAACAAATAAAAATAACCCACAATGAAATATAAATAAATATTTATATTAACCTTCTTTACCAGTGACAGAAATATTTAATTTTATTGTAAATTATTTTTGCTTTATCTATGCATAAGTAAAAGTTGTCTGCAAACAGTGAATTGGGTGTAAAAAAAAAGTCTTTATTTTTCCAATTTAATCCTTAAAAGGCACTAAGCTTCCAATGCTGAAGTCCGAGGTTCGAATCCCGGCTCTTAGCAGAAAAATTATTTATTCTGTTTCATTGGCCTTGGAGCGACCCTGGGGTAGCGAGACCCTCCTGGGGCACACCCAGCCTCTACAAAGTGGGTTCTTTTAATTAAATAATTGATTAAGGAGGAAAACCTGGCGGTGAAGCATGATCCTGCCCCGATCCACTCCTTGCACAATCATTAGCTTTGAAACAGGACTTTCCGAAAATAGTACTGAACCCAAGACTCTTCTTGGGTTGTAGTGGTACAGGTTTAATCCTTAAAAGTCATAGTGAAAAAAAACTACATCATATTTAAATATATTTTGATTAATAGTACTCTCCTTTTTCACATTCGGATTTTTATACTTCTCTTATTGTAAAAACAAAGTGAATCTTTTGATCCACTGCTCAAATTCGAATGTATAATCTTAAAGCTTCCTTTGTTGATGATTGTTAAACCATTTAACTACAGATTGAAGACATTCTGTAACACTTTATATAGATTTTTCTACTTCCTACTTTGTATAAGATAACTAGTTAGAAATTATTTTCTTTCTTTTTTTTTTTATTAATTACCTCGAATTTATTAATTTTATTAATACATTACATAAAATTGGACATAAAAAATTAAATTTGCAATCTGCAAATTTCTTTGCAATGAGCAATTTTTTTGGCAGCTTCACAGCGTTCCATTACAATCCAGGAAATAGTTCAGTTCAGCAGGTCCCTTGGCCACCGCCTATGTAATCGTCGAGGTGGGCTGTACGGGTTTCTGGTGCTTTTAAGGTTTTCTGTCAGAGGATTTGTGTTGGAAATTAGACTTTGGTGAAAATTGTTGTAGTTTTTTTTTTGCAATGTCTGAAATTGTTGGGATGTTCAAGTCTTTATGTAATCTATCGTTTGCGACATAAAACGAGTGCGTCAACTATTCTTCGTAAAATTTTGGATTGGAAAGACTGGATTTTTTTAATATTAGAAGTTATAGCAGAACCCCACAGTTCTATGCCATAAGTCCAAATTGGTTTTAGTAAAACTTTATAGAGTGTTAGTTTGTTAGTCAAAGATAATTTTGAACGTCTGTCAAGTAACCTAGATAAAAGCCCGTATCGTCTGTTTCATTCCATACATTTTTGTCTAATGTGTGTCCTCCAAGTTAGTCTTTTGTCGAGGTAAAAACCCAAATATTTAATTACCTTGGATGCAGGAATTTCAATGTCATTAAAATATATTTCGAGGGAAGGGGTATGATTAAGAGTGAATACTGTGTACACACCTTTTTTTTCATTCATTTTAATTTTACACCTTGTGGCCCAATCAGCAATATCGTTCAAGTGGTTTTGAAGAGTGGTGGATGCTTGAATAGGATTTTTATCTTAAAAAAATTAAATACAAAAGTGTTTAAAGTGATTAATCAAAAGGACTATGCTTTAATAACTACTTTATTCATGATGATTCTAGTATATTTGTGTGTAAATGAACGGTTTTTTAAATATTTTCTTTATAAAAAAAGTAGTTAAAAATGTTTTTTAAGGAAAACAAGAAAAAGTAATTAAGATGGATCCTAAGTGAATTGGACGACATTGGTAGTTTTAGGATATTAATAAAGAGGAGGGAAATTGAGGGATCTATATATTCCATTTAAGACTTGAAGGGACCGTTACAGAACGAAACGAGAGTGAGCATAAATCAGGGCTCAGTTTGAGCCAATTAGTCCTTCACGACCCGCCAGGAATTCTCATAAACTCAACTAAAGGCCGTTCTGTAGTTTGTCTCCTCAAACTTGATGTCTGGTTCACTGATTGTTGCCTCATACATTGTCCTTAATTTTCTTAGATTTAATTGCATTTTTTACCGATGTTTAATAACGTATTTATTGTCAGCTTTTCCTTGGTATAAAAATTGCTTCGTAAACTGAATCCAAGGCTCTTCATGGGTTGTAGTGGTATAGGTCAGGTCTTAAACGTCAACAGTGGGATAACGTTTTAAGACTGCAGTAAATCTCGGATTTAAAGAAAGGAGTTTTATCAGCCATCTTTGAACAATTAGATTTTAAATCAAACCTGTTATTTAGTTTTGCGGTGGTTTTTCATTTTAAAACATCCATTACCTCCAAACAGCCCTTTTGAATTGTTAAATAAATATAATTTGCTACTAGCTATGAATCAAGTCATAAATGCTTCCCTAAATTCGACCGAATTATTCAGAAATGAACCATTTTCCCTGATGCTCTCCGCGATTTCAGGATAATTTCTACGATTACTGATTGCGGGACGTAAAATATGATTAGATGAATTTCGTTTATCATCGAAGTTCTTCTCTCTTAGAAATGACCAATTTTTTTTTCTTTTTCTTAATCTAATGTAATCATTCTCTGATGACACTGTCATTGTCTACTTCAGTATTCTCCTCATCTGATATGATTTATTTGATTATTTTTTTCTGAAAACTTATTGATAACGATTTATCGAAGATAACACATGTAATTGTTATTTAGGAGTGGTTAGTTGTTTAAAGACTAATGTTGCTTCTTCAATCCTTCTACATCGATACATTATTATTATCATTTTTTATTTGCTGAATGAGAAAACATTTTAAATCATGACAATATTGCCTGGTTATGTAGCTTATTGTCGGTTTTATAACAAGGCCTATTCTGGTGATTGTCGGTAAGATCAATATAAGTTATACAATATTTCAAATCTCTAATAGATTTTAAATCATCTATGGGATGTCTCGTTCTTATAATAACCGATCGATGTTAAGGAAAATCGAAATCAGAACCTTTCATTATTGTGAAGTTTTTAAAGTTTCTTAATGTTCGTACTTGCACATTTAATGGGTCATAATCATTTATCTTAAGATCCCTCAAAAGTAATGTCTCTCTGTACAGTTGCCGTTCTTTTTGTGGCCTCACAGCATCTCGTTAATGAGTTTGCTCGTTGATTGTTACTAGTAAAACTAAAACTTATAGCTGCCGTAAACACTATATCTTCCTTGCTTCGCACCAGGAGAACTGATCCATATATTTTAATACAATACCATCAAATAGAAGAATGGAATAATTTAGGATAGATAATAGTAATGAACATAAAAATGAATAAAGAAATCCATAGGAGAAAAGGTCGAATGGTACAAATATTGGTTTCTCAAATGGAATTTTTAAAAGCAATCTAGCGATGGATCTAAAAGCCAAAGTGTTGACTAAGTGTGCATATCCTACTATTCTTTATAGGGCACAAAGTTGCACATTAACAAGGAAATTTGAACTCAGGTGAAACGCTAAGCTGATGAAAGGGTTAAATTAAGAAGAGAGAAAGAACTAAATATTAATATATTAATCGCGAAGTGACTATTAAAAGCTTAAGGGTTGTATCCCATCGGTTAATGTGGAATTTGACTGGAAAGACGGCCAGGATGAAGGATGGAAGATGGTCCAAGGCATACTCTGTGTGGATACCAAGAGAAAACAACAGTAAGACGAGTCGACCATGTCTTACGGGTAAGGACGAAACGACACAGTATGTTAGTATGGATGGAATCCGGTGGAAAAAAAGTTATGAATAATATTTAGTTCCTAATTTGTAAACAACGTGTTTTGTTTGCTATGCTGTTGGGTTTTTATCTGTATTACTATAATCTAATTATTTCGCAAGAAGTGATAATTTTAACTATTTTTTTCTTTGATTTAGACTACTCCATTAAAATTCCCCCTAAAGGAAATGCTTTTGTAAAAATATTGATGCCAATAAAGCTTTATTATTATCTAATCACCCACCCATGTGTTTTAACTTTGTTATCAAATTAAACTGCTCGTTTTCTTTTGATAACTATGTTATACAATAGACTTGTTACATAGCAAAATGTTGGAGAACTGATTATCAAACTTACCATCAAATAATTATTTTGTGGAACTAGCTTTAGAAATATCCTGCATTAGTGGTCGCCAATCTCTTGAGGTTCTTTGGCCTCTTGAATGTAGCTCTATATGTAAAGCTCTACATGTCGCACTTTTTCTACATGTAACAAGAAAAACATATTTCTTATAATTTTTCTTTTTTAAGTTGTAAAACGAACGAAATTCTGAGCTATAGTATAACATTCTATCGCTATTCGTTTTTGTTCTAGATGCTTTTTGTATTCAATGACAAGTAAAAAAACCAAACAGTTATGGCAAGGATGAAATAGTGCCTGAATTTAGTTGGTTGTTATTCTAATTTAAATGTTTAATTTAAAATGTATTTTGCCATTATATATTAAGGAATTATAACAACTCAGTTTTGAGTCAGGGGCTTCCTTATCATCAACGGCCAGTCCTCTCGGTTCGCTGCCACTGCCTTCTAGTTTCTTATTTCCAAGATGGGCCGTGCATTCTCCGCCACTCAATCAGCCCACCCCAGTCTCGGCTTGCCAATTCTGCTCTTGCCGTATAGCCTTTCTTCCAGAAGTCTCTTTGCGATCTCATCATTCTTCATTCGTGCAACATGGTCTGCCCAATAAAGCTTTCCAATCTTTATGAATCTGACGAAATTCGTATCATTGTAGATTATTTAGAATTTTCCACTTTTTCTCTAAACAGTATAGTCGCTGAAAACTGACCCTAATATTCTCCTAAGGATTCCCCTCTCGAATCTTAGGAGTATTATTAGTTTTCAAACCCAATAAATCGTTCAGCAGTCAGTGAAAACAGACCTTCTTTTTGTTTTCTGCCGAATATTTGAAATGTATACTCCAAATTATTACAATAATTATAACAGTTAAATATGTAACGAAATGCATAAAGTAACTAATCTATTATTTTGGTTATGAGGTGTGATACAACAAACGGAACGAAAAATGAACAGCTACGACACAAGTGGCTAACGAGATATGGAAACAAGATCAACTGCTGTTATTTATTTTGAGAAAGGTATTTAAAGATTGTATTGATATATAGAAAGGATGAACGGGGCAAAGAGTTAGATGATATAAGTATAAAAGATAAATATAGGTAAGACCGTTAAAAGTTGTATTCCTTTTTTTTTTTTTTCTGTTGGCATTGCAGCTGGCTCCATCTCTTCCTGTCTTGGGATATTTCTTTTCAGTTATCTGCAGCTCTATTGTATCTTTGTTGATTCTATCTATCCATCTGCTTTTTGGCCTTCCACGTGGTCTTTCGCCTTCTATTGAGGAATTCATTGTTACGTAGATGGAATGAAAATATATTTTATTAGATGCTTCGAGATGGATCGCTACGAGCTATATGCCCCGTCCATCTTAACCTCCGTGCCTTCGTATCATGATGTATTCATTGACCAGTCTCTGTAAGCCGTTCTTAATTATTCATTCTTCTCCAAATGTTAGTACTCTGATCCCAGAATGCTCCGTTCATCGTGCAGAGGATTTTTCTCTCAAATCTTTCAATCTTCAATTCTGAGGTGCTGGTTAGTGTCCGGTTCACACAGCCGTACATTAGAACTGATTTTATCATAGCATTTTACACTCTTAATTTGAGATTTTTCTTATATATACACTTATTAGACAAAACGCCATTCTATACTGAGTCCAAAAAAAAAAAAAAAAATTGTTTTTAAACAAATTTCAGTCGTTCCAATAGTGATATTTGGCTATTTTGATTTGTGAGTTTGCCGATTACTATCCTAGTCAAAAAATAGTGAAGTAGATGTCTATTTTAATGTACTGGAGTATGTTATCCATTTCATGAAATCCATGAAGTGGTAAAATATTCAAGCCCTATAAGTTCCTTCTTTAGATGTTGGAGGCTTTAGGTGGTTCATAAATTATTCCAGGATCATGGCTATTCGTTTTGGAGTATTTGAGCAAGGCAGGGCTCCCAACCGAGTGGTTTCGCCTCAGTGACAAATCTACCGTCAAATCCGACGGAACAACCTGTAGCTACCTGTTCCATCGCCCACCGGAAGAGTACTCGATGGCACGGAGCTACTGGTGGAATGGATGATTCACATCCGGGGCAATGTCCATTTGCAAAACAATCCTCCCTTCCCCTCCCTCCCCCAGAGGTTCGTACACAATCCCTCCGGTCCTTTGCAACATTTCTCTTCCTGATAAATTTATTGTTGCCTTTGTGAATTTATACTCTATCAAACTCGAGAGGAAAGTTTTCCCCTCGGTTGTTTTACTGTAAAGTTAAAGCAGGCTACAAATCAAAGCAAAAATTAATTACGATTAAATTCAAACAAAGTACGAATTACTATTTGGATACTAGAATATTGGCTGTAGGGAAACCTTGTTAGGAACGACAAAGTATTTCCTTGTAAATTGCCATGTTTGTGGACTCACCCGTTCATTAAAAAAAATATATATATATTTTAATCGAACTAGTCCCATTTTTTTAAAACGAGTTTTCATTAAAAAATCTTAAAAGTAGAAGTAACTAAATTATAAGTATTTATTGATCGCCATTTGTTTGCGATAAAAAACAGTCCTGCTTACTACATGGTTTATAAGAATCATCCGTATGTAGGGTTATTGCGATATCACGTAAATTCAATATTAGTCTAATATTGAATCAATATCGAGTGATGTCTATATTAATAAGACTTAGCGAACCCGAAGGTTCGATGCCGATACCACCAATCGATGTCTATATTCTTCTATCCACCGGGCGCCGTCTAAACCTAAACCCGCCAGATCAGCCTTAATGCAATCTTCCTACCTTCGCTTTGGTCTACCATTCCCCAGCGTTTTACATTCCCATTTTATTCACCTCAGCTTAATCACCTCAATTATATTAACAGGGAACAGTTCGTGCAATTGAATATTGCGTAACCGCCTAAATTCTCCGGCTGGCTGATCCTTCTTCGGTTCGAATATTCCGCGCAACACTTCATTTTCAAAAACCTAATGAACCGTTGCTTATCCCTTAATGTAAGCGACCACGTTTCGCATCCATAAAGAACCGTAGGAAGAATAATGGTTTTGTAAATTCTATTTTTTAAGTTTCTGGACAGAAGGTGCGATATAAGTAGTTTTGACAAAGAAAAATAACAAACATTTTCCGCCTCAGTCATTTCGGACCCTAGATTCTCTACGTGTTCAAATACATTCCGTTCTATATCGATATCACCGAAATTGTTCCTTTTTTGCAGCTAACTATATATATTGTCTTATCCGTTATTATTTCGAGCCCTGGTTTTCTACCGTCTTTCATCAACGTTGTTGTATTTTGTTTTATTGGAACGATATCTATATCAAAATGAAATGTTAGGGATAGTCAACAAATACATCAACAATTATTGCAAAAAGTCATTAAGTAACTTTTCATAACCTGAAATCACTAAGAAATGTGATGAATTTTTCCTTTGTGAAATCAGAATATTTTGCGTCTTTTGGTATTATATTTAATCCATAAAACGGACTGCTGTTGTGGCTGTTTGATCACTTAGGCACTTCGGATAATATCGTCCAATTATTGCAGAAAATCATTAATTGACATTTCATAACCTTAAATAAATAAAAACTTTGGCGAACTTTCCCATTGTGAAATCAGAAAATTGTGTGCTAGTTGTAACTATATATGATAAATAAAAGGGTTTGTGTCATTTTAGTACACTGTGTTTTTAATAAATACATTAGGGCAGAGTTCACAAAAACGATTTTAAAAATTCATTTCCATCAAAAATATACTTGATGACTATTCGCAATAATCCAACGATATTGAGGAATAAACTGTTTACTTTGAAAGTATTGTCACTCCATTTTTTATTATATGGAGATATTTAAGAGTTTGTTTTTTGGATGGTTTAAAAAATATTAGTAGGCATATGTTAATAAGTTCATTTTTTTATATATATTAAATTGGTTTATGATTATAATATGATAGAAAAATAAAATCAAAATCCGATATTGGCAGTTTTCTTTCGATGTTAGGATAGTATCGAATTTTTCGTTTCTATACTAAATTTGGCGATATCGAAAGGAAAATATAGATACCGATAATATCGCCACACCCCATCCGTAAGGAACTAAATTAATTTTGAAATGCCTTAGTATTTATCCATTTTTAAACTTTACTCACAATTTTACTTTCTTGACCAAAATATGAAATATAAAGTGAGAGAAATTATGGCTATTGTGAGAAATTCGGAATCCGAGTTTTCAACGATAGAAGTTCTGAAATCTTTGAATCCTTATCTCGCATAATGATCTGTGTTTGTGTGAGCAGTCTACTAAAAACTCGTACGAAACTAAAATTTCGTTCGTCCTGGAATGTTACAGCAATTTTTACACCAAAATAAGCTTACCATAACTGGCACATTAAATGACCGTTTTTACTCATATTTATGATTTTCTCGAAAACAGCTACAACAATTTTGATGAAAGTTATTATATCAGTGTACAATTAAATGGATTTTAATATTTTGGTAGCTGTTATTCTCAAAGTTAACTTATTTTGTGTTTATGTATTGTTTAATTTTAATTTTCAATAGAACATTTGAGCACTTCAGTTGACCGAATTACTAACTCTAATTTGAACATTTTTCGAAACCTGGACAAACGACTCTCTTGGAACTTCCATACCAGACTGAAACGACTAGAAACCGCCCGACGTTTTCGACTACTGCAGCACTTACCAGACAAACGCTCTAAGCTTTCAATCAATTACAAACGACTCATATATATGACAATAATAAGACCTATTTGGACTTACGGAATTGAGCTTTGGGGCTCCACTAAACCATCGAATTCCTCTCGTATCCAATCCTTACAATTCAAAATCCTTCGTAAAATCCTCAACGCTCCTTACTTTGTCACAAATAAAATCATCCATAAAGACCTTAATGTTCCATATGTTTCCGATTTGGCCCAATCCAGATACCTATCCTTCCATAACAAACTGCAGAACCATCCGAACCCTCTCGTTTCAAACCTTGCTTCCTCCTCGATCCCTGATAACCCTCCGAGGCGTCTGAAAAGAAGATGGCCTCGGGACTTTCTTTCTTATATAGAACTTTAATTTGAGTTCTACCAATGGGTAGTTTCTCTTCATGTTGTACATGTCATGTTACCAATGTCACATTTACTTGTTGTATTTTTCATGTAATAGAGTTGTAAATTTCATTAAAATAAAAAAAACAAAAACGTTTTTTGACTGAAATGATTTTAGTGTTATTTCTAGTTGGAAAATTTATAATATCTGTACAGAGAGTGAGTAAGTTGATTGCAGAGTAGGTGATTGCAGTGTTGAAATATAGCACTGTTAATAAAGGTATACATTTTTCCATTAGAAACATCATTATAATGAATAATCAAGAATGTTGAAATTTAAGTTAGTCATTCTGTCAACTGAAAGTCTGATTTATTATTTTATGACATATGATTACTAAATTATAACTGTTATTTGACTAAAAGTAACTGTTACTAAAAGTGAGTGGCAATACTTAAGTAAAAAGATCCTATTACTTTTGCAGGACAGCCCTGGGGCAAACTGCCGGCCTTCGAGAGTCAGAGCCATGTTCGCTTCCCGCGCCTGCAGGAAGTCCGTCATGATCGGGACGGCTCTCAACCTGAAGGACATGAGGAGGCTTGTCGACAACATGGCCACCATCGAACAACCATGGGTAATATATTCATTTTATAATTTATTTATAAATATTTTGTTTATTTGGATGATTAGGTTCTTCATTAATTATCCTTTAGTTTTTTAAACGTATGGAGGTTTGACTGGGGCATTACCGATACCATAAGATGTTCTACATTTTCCAATTTTTGCAGTCACAGTTAATTAGTTTTTTTCGTCAGGATCTCAAAGAGATATCACCCATAAAGATAGGAGACATTTTTCTTTTATTGCTTGTGACATCCCTCCAAGTTAAGCCAATCTCTGTTCTAAAATGTTCCGATCCTTCGGCGTTGAATATATGTTGAAAGTTGAATGCTGAATATATATTTGTTGAGAAGAACCTAGCTCTCACTTCCATATATTAGGATAGAAAGGTAAATCGTGCTACAAAAGTACAATTTTACCTTTTTCTCAACTTCACGGTTCCCAACAAGTGTGGTATATTTGGTAATATATTGACAGGCATACTGCAAAAGCCTGTTGTAATATATTGACAGGCATACTGCAAAAGCCTGTTAATACAACTACTGTGGAAACTTGTATTCAGAATTACAGATCAAAATCTTTATTTAATTAATTACATCTCTGTCTTAGCATAGAGTAAAAACTGAACCGAAAATAATGTTTATAAAATTAAATGTGCATTTTATTTCTTCTTATGAATATTTTTAGTTTTTACTCTGCAGGATGTTTGTGATATGTTGTTTTCAATTTATCAGTAGCTTGGAAGAAGATGGGCAGAACTTTTGAGTTTTTACTTCACTTTTAATAGATTTAACAGATAAAATCCTTGATCAATCGAATAAAATATTTTACTTTCTCATTCTTGTTATTAATTGCATTAATAATAATACAACCCCTTAGATTGTATGTATATATATATGTAATAATCAAGATTAGTTTTAAGAATTTTTAAAATACCAGTGCTATTTCGCGCACATGGTATAAACTCGTTAAATTCTTTACAAAGGCGATTCATTTATGCATCTAGTCAATTTACTCACTATTTATTTAGATGATTGTATGAAAATTATTTATATATATTATTATTATTATTTTTTTTCCCCACGAACCGGCCAGCAAGGACCACGCAAATATCAATTCCGTTTCCTCTTCACACCCTCAACCTTCCTCTTACTCCAATACTCTCTCATCCTCCTGGATTGTTCCTCTCGCTCTTCCTTAGTCCATTTTCTCCCTCGTCTCTCCCTCCCACCTACAACAACCCCAACCCCTTTCAGTTTTTCACTTCAATAATTTAATATAAATTATTGAAGTGAAAACTTCTCTAGGCACGTTTTGTACTTTTTTTGTGGAGATTGATATAGATTGAGCCGTTAGATCTCTGATGTGTGATACTCGGGTAAAGTCGGCTGGAGTCGACTAATTGAAGTGTTTTTTTACATATGGATTAAAATATCTCAACAATTAAAAATCGGACATGCATATTATTAGCGAAGAAAATGTTCATTTCATCTACTTTGTAATGAGCTATTATTAAAAATTGCATCTTAAAGCAACACCTTGTTAGAGAGGTGAAAAGTGAAAGAATAGTGTCTAAAACCAAATGATAACGAATTTTATTGAAGATATGAATTAAAATACCTCGAAAACTAATAATCAAACATGGAAATTGTCCAGTATTTCATGGTTTCTTAATGAGCTATTATTTATAATTTATGATTCATATTATTAATCTTGTCTTGCTGATGTTTTCACTTCTGTCATGTAGTCTAAAGCACACCTTAGTTTTTTTTTAATTTGTAGATTAGTGTAATTTTAATTATGTAAACTATTAAATATTTGCATAGTTTGTAACATTACTAACATAAATAAACACTAATCAGGCGAGACGTCCATGGCTCCCTGTATATTTAAAACCTATAAATATAATATCAATCTATCTTTTAATAAATTTCAAGCCAGTACAACTTAAATATTAATTATAAGCCGAATTCGCTTAATAATAATGAACAAGATGGTTATGATAACGGATGGGTAAAAACATTTTAGTTTTCCAGTTAACACAGGCATAATTTACTTATTTTATTTTTTTTATATTTATTTGTCTTTATTATTGAAATATTAATTGTATGTACTTATTGTGTGAATGAATCATGTAGCCTTAATATTAATGCCCTTCAATGTGGCAGAATGTATTAATATTCAATAAAGAAGTTTTCCAGTTATGTAGGTCTCATTCTACGTTTTCAACATTATAATCTTCTGGCAATACTTTTTCTGCTGTTATAATTTAGAATATTGACGAAGTTAATAAAATAAAGTTATGAATTCATGATTGTACAAAGGATAATTTGTATTATACAAAGAACATATTGGCAAAGCGTCACTACTCTTTATAATCTATTTTTTCTCACCAATAACTCTTATCCAGAAAATACCATAGCCCGTTCTTACTCAAACTGAAAAGATCAATTACAAACAAAAAGTTTAAGGTTAATCTCAATAGGAATGTCAGGCGAAAAAAAAAACGTAAAAAAATACCTGAGTATAAAGAGAAAATGAAAAAAAGGATCAAAGGTACAGAAGGCAGAGTATTAATACCGAATGGATCCTACAAATTCTAAGGTTATCGTTCATTTCCAACCATCCTATGATGGCATGATTCTTCTGGAATTTCCTTTAGATCGGTCGTATTGAGGATAACCCACTGGAAACACTTAATAGTCATTGGAAATGATTTAAGTTTAATATTTTGATATATCCTCATACCAGAATTAAACGACAAGATACCGCTCGACGTTTCCGATTACTTCAGCACTTACTAGACAAACGCTCTAAACGTCCAATTAATTAAAAAGACTAATATATATATTACTATAAATAAGGCCTATTTGGACTTAAGTTAAGCTATGGGACTCCAATAAACCATCGAATTCCTCTCGTATCTGATCCTTACAATCCAAAATCCTTCGTAAAATCCTTAATGCTCCCTACTTTGTTACAAATAAAACCATCCATAATGACCTTAATGTTTCTTATGACCCAATCCAGATACCTATCCATCCATAATAAACTTCAGAATCATCCCAACCCTCTCGTTTCTAACCTTGCTTCCTCTTCAATTCCTGATAACCCTCCGTCTGAAAAGAAGATGGCCCCGTGATCTCCTAATGTAGACATATTATTAGAGATCTACCATTGGGTAGTTTCTCAACAAGTGTTTTCATATCATGTCATTATATCCATATGTTCAAATTTATTAATGTATTTCTTTTATACAGTTGTAAATATCATTATGAAATTAAAACAAAAAAAAAATTGATATAAGATCTACCTCCTCCCAATAGCGGATTAGAGTTCGTATGTTTGTTCTTTTCATTGCCAATTTTTAATAAATGAGGGTAAGTTGTTCCGATTTTATAGGTTAGTGTAATTCTTGCTTGAGGTTGTCCGTCGTCTTTTTCTGGAACTGATTCTGGCGCGAAGAAGAAAACTCAATTAATTTATGAGGGTATTATTATTATTATTATTTTGAGTGGTTTGTGGCTTAGACAGCGAGGAGGAGTCGAGTGAAGGTATTGACTTAAAATACTTCAGAGATTTGAAAAATACAAAATATGGAACTAATTATTTTTTTTTATTACGCCTGTTGACTTCGACTTTTAAGTCATAAGTCTTCTTCAGCTGGTTGGGGCTGTTATAGGCGCGACAATAGTGATCGTTTTGTTCTCTCTTCATCGAGATATTTAGGGAGCACGTGGTTTTCTAACCAGACGCGATCACATTTCGCTCCCTCTTCATCAGGAACTTACCTTCAGGATGGTTGGAAATCTTTTGCTTCGATCTTCTACTCACTTTTTATGGGATAGGGGATTATCAGCCCTATACCCAACCCCGCGCCTGGAAAACCAGGAGCTATGGTTTAAGACACAGGGGTCGCTCACCTTTCTATAAATCTCAGGATGGAGACGGTAACGTTCATGGAATTGGACCCGCGCCGTAGATGGTCTAAGTACTCGAGTAGGGAACCTTCTTTTTGTTCTCTCTCCTTAAGCCAACGGATAGTGCCACTTTATATCAACGCTGAAACACATTTTTACAATTTTCTCAAAAACCGCTCTGACCATTTTGATTAAACTCGGTGTATCATTGTGTAATAAAGTAGTCTTTAATATCAATCCGGTTTTATCCCCATTGATGTCACTTTACATGGCTTAAATGCGTAATGTTCATATAAGTCATCAAAAGTACCTTTAATATGGTTTATTTTAAATAATTAATCATCTCACATTATTTAGAGTTACGAAAAAATGCTAAATATAACTTTTGAAAGAATTTGATAATTGAATTAAGAAGAAAAATGCTTATCTAGGCCGGAAATAATGGTGAAAAGGTAAACGTTTAATATATCGTTGAAATGCGGAGAATTAAAACAAAACAACATCTAATATAGAAAATTGTAGAAAGTAACAGACAGTGGCGAAAAAAATATAAATAATAATTTCTGAAAACTAACATTATTTGACGTAAATCACGTGACATCAAGGAAAACAAATGAAATTTTCTTACTAAATGCAAACTTTTAACATTTTTTTTTAGTTTAAAAAGAACTTAAAATCCACGGATTCAATCCAATGACACTGTTTAAGATAATATTTCATTGTACTTGTGTGAAAGAAGAAGTGAAATATAAAATATTTCATGGATATGTTCATAATCGTAAATATATTTACTGTATTTTGTTAAGGTTCTCGAATAACTCTAGATCTGATGTTACATTTAAATATCTAGGTATCTATCGTCCGTTTATTTAAAAAAAATCATCATGTAACCTTTTAGAAAAATAAATTAGTGAATAGTTTGATGAATTTTCCTTTTGTGATATTACAACAGTATCCACTTCCAATTAGTGTGACAACTTTTGACCTATCTATGCCAGACAATGTAAATCCCTTAATTCCGTTTTAACAAACTTTGCAATGGAAAATATTTGTTTGATAACTGATAGTCGAACAATCAGCGGATCGTGCAATCCATGATCAACCGGTGACATAATAAATAGGACTTTTGTTATTGTAATGGTATTTATGATTTGTTAGCTGTAAGATTTTTGCTTTAGCTCCTTTAAAACTTCATGTAATTCATATTTCCTTTACTGAGGACAGATTGTTGCCTACTTTGACTTGAAATGTTCGGCTCTATCGGAAATTTCTTATCAATATTATAAGGCGATCTCTAAATCCCCATTCTAATAGCTGAAGGAGGACAAATGATGGATTTAAGTTAACG